CAGCCGGCGCGGCGTGCAGGCAGGCTGGAGCCAGACGAGCCGCTCGTCGCCCTCTGAGCGGCGCGGCGCCACCGGTCTCGGCGTGCCCACGTCAGATCGGAGAGGGACAGTATCGCCGGCATCGCAGACCTGTTATGCCTAATACGGGACCGGACTCACTTCCTTATCCCCAGAGCAGTTTGGTGGGGCATTCCAGCCGGACCGGCTGGCTGCTATTCGGTGTGCATTTCGTCTAGCTGTGTGATTGTAGCTGGAAGCGGATGCTGTCGAGTGTCGATGTAGGCAATTGGGTTAGTGATTTCCGTTCACTTGAATGAAAAGTTTGATGTGCGTCTGTGACCTTTGCGGTTGATGAGCTGCTAATGTACATATTTTTGTAATATTAAACATTATTTTACATATTAATGTACATTACAAGTACATATTTTTTGTTGCCTTTCCATGGAAAATAACTATTATACTCCAAATATCTTCAACGCTCATTGCGCTGCTCTGAAGCACTCACAGCTCATTAAGCGTGAACTCGGAGCGCTGAATTATTTAGCCACGTGCACCTTGTATTGAGCGGCCCCACGCCGGTGCATGCCAGTTACGTTGTCACGCCGCGCGCGGCCTGGAGGTCGTGTGTCGCAAACGTTTGTAACCGGCCCTGCCGCCTGCGGTGACCACACGTGACCCGAATAGGTAACCCCACCCGGCACCGGCGCGGCGCGAATAATGACATCGCACGACACAACACGGCAACGACTGGGGGTCCAGGAACGCTCAACACCGCGGCTGTGCGGCTCATACTGGAAGTCGGTGGTTGGTCCAAGCCAAAACGCCTTCCCTGCCCAGTGCTCACCGAATGTGCCGAACCAAAACGCGCTACATGGTGTTAGAGGAGCGGAATTCAGCTCTCAGCGCCGATTGCACGCTGGTCGTTTACAACCGGATAACTTCGGGCGCGCCCCGGACCGCGTCCCGGACCAGGTCGTGACGTCACGTGCCACGATGCACCTTAGTGACGTCACGGGCGATCGATAGCTCACCACCCTTCCATACCTGGCGCCGGTGGGCCGGCGTGCCGTGCCGCCGCCGCTCAATGAACACCCGGTTCGTGCCGAGGGGACCAGGAAAGACGGCGGGCAAACTGTCAATATGAAACAGTGGCGGCGACTTTCTGGAAGAAAAAAAGTCGCGGCGTTATTCCGATAGTTTTGTGGCATTTCGTTCATGAAGTCTGGTGGAGGCCGGCTGCGGAGCCGGGCGAGTGTTTACAGCCGTGCCGGCGGCAGCGGGCGAGTCGGCCGGTCTGCGAATCAACAAACCGCTGCTCTGACGACTACCAACCGTTTCGGGCGGACGGTGGCCCCCGGGCGTCTGGCGGGCCTCAAAAGGGGCGCCCGGCTGAGCCCGCTGACGTTATGTCACGTCATCATCAGGCGATACTCCGACTGGTCTTAGGACTGACTTAATGGATCTGTTGGTTTCGGTCGTCTGGCGACCCCGCTGTCTCGGTCTCTGACTCTGGACTCAACCTGTCACCTTTCCTTGACCTCGAGAGTGACCTGTTGTTTTTGGATGGTCAGTCTTCATCCTCGGCAATCTCCTGGCGACTGATGCTGTCTCTCCCCCCACCGCCACCCTGATATAAACCCACTGTCTGTCGCCAGTAACTCTAACCTGTTGACCTCAAACGAACCGGTGCTGTCGCGTGCGGGACCGCTCCGAGCCGGCGGGTGACACATGGCGGCCATCACTGACCGTCTGCCGTGACGGGACGACCCGCCCTGCCCGGACGGCCGCTGGACCCGCCCAGCTTGCCGACCTCTCGACCTCCCGACCGCCGACCGTCCACCGTCCGACCGCCATCCGACCGCCGAGCCACCGCTAGCCGGCCGGCCGGAGGCGCTCTGGCGGGTCGCCCGAGCGTTTGTTTGCCTGTCTGAGTCCCGACGGCCGGTGGCGTTGCCCCACAGGGCAGGGAGGGGCGCCGTAGGCTGTCGGCACACCTCTGCCGGCCGCCCCAGAGACGCGGCTGTCGGCGGCTGTCAGTGTTGATGCGACGTGCACTGGGCGTGTGGTGACATGCGGCGCTTGTATGTTGATATCTGCCGGTGATAGGATGGTGAAGGGATGTCAGTTTTGGACGAACTGGTGCATTATCCTGCTCTTTTGGCGACGTCGACGAGGCAAAGGCCTGGGCTCTTGTTCTACTATGGTCTTCGTTTCAGTGCCTTGCAGGACGCATCAGTGCTGCTCGTTTAGTGGTTTACAGCCGCCCATCATTCGCGGGATGTTGAGCATGCTGTTTGCGTGCAGCAGTTATGCCGATGAGATGCTGCTCAGCACATGCTGCGCCCAGCGATGACTCACGTGGACCACTCAGACGATATCCGCACGCCCCCTCTGTCGTGATGTATCCTCTTCCCATATCGCTCCCCTGCTCTCCCATCGCCACTCCCGCGGTGACCCATCCTCCTCCCGCCGCTCCCGTGATGATGTGTGTCTCAGAGAGCGGTGGACGACGTCATTCTCAGCTCCCATCCTCTCTCTGCTCCCGCCTCTCCTCTGTGAGACCCGGACGTTCCATCATTTGTGTGTGCCGAGGCGCCGAGGAGGCGGCGGGCGCAGGGAAGCCGCATGAGGCGCGAGGCGCTCATTCAATCACGTCTCTGAGAGGTGCACCGCGCCGGGCCGGCCCGGGAGGTAGACCGTCTGCTGCTCAATGCTCCCACAGGCGTGAGGGGTGGTGGGAGTGGGAAGGTGACGCAACTATGTGAAATGCTAGCAGAACGGTCAGCTGCTGCTGATAAGATGCACACTTCTCTGGAGTTTCGTTCATTGTTATGTTAGTCGGCCTGACAGACCGCGGTTGATTTGAGGGCATCCCGCGCCCCGTAGGGGGGGCCGAAACGCCCCCCCCCTGTCCTTTTCCGTCGATATCTCCTAAACGGCTGGAGATATCGCCACCAAACTTTCAGGACCTCTCTGGGCATCAATTTTACACATTGTGACCAAAAAAGTTTCCAGAGGCTATGATAGTTTGGCCACAAATGACGTCAGAATTACGTCATGTTCTGCCATTTTCGACCGAAAAAAGACCTTCGCGAGAAGAGCTGTCAGGCCTACAACTTTGAAGATACAGAAAAATGATCGAAACATAAAAGGTGTAGAATTGACAGGGCTACAAAACTGCTATCTCGGATTTTTGAAATTTTTGAGTTTTGACCCCCAAAAATCAAAAATGCAATTTTTTGGATATATTAGCCAAAAAAATCCAAGAAGGTTTTTTGAGTTTCGAAAAAACCGGAATATATGTGATAGTACCTACCGTCTTCTATCTACATACCGAATTTCAGATCAATATCTCGTTTTTTGACCAAGTTATAGCGAAAACACTGTTCAAAAATGATTACGTCAAATTTTCAAACTCAATTTTTGGCAATTCTAGACCACGTAGGGCAAAACAAAGACCACCATTGGACTCCCCGTGACAAGCTGCATCGAATGGATACCCATTTTATGCAAAAATATCAACTTTGAAATTTGACCTAATTTGACCTGACCTTGACCTGACCTTCACCAAAACGTGACCTAAGCTGTCCCCAAAGGCTGCCTGACCCACATAATCGCATTTGTCATGTAAAATGGACCATAAAACATGTATCACACGACACTTTCATATTGTGACCCCTAGGTGACCCCCAGTGACCTGACCTCTGTGACCTGACCTGGTATCAGTGACCTCAGATAGCGAAGTATGTGTTTGACGAACAATATACCATCGATGGTTTTCAATAACTTACCAATTTACTCGATTTCACAACACATTTCTTGAAATGACTGTGAACGGTGAAAATCTGACCTTTGACCTGACCTGTTACGTCATCGGTTTGACCTAGGTCAATGAAATTTGGTCACAAGGTAGTTCCCCGGTGGGGCTTTCGAACGCCGTTTGAATTTTGAAAATCGGCCTGTAAATTTCCGAGACCTTAGGAGGGGGGCCGAAACGCCCCCCCCCCCCTACGGGTGGTAAGGTCCGCCGGTAGCCCTACGGGGCGCGGGTTAATTGAAGCATTGAAGAGGCCCGACCCCTTTGACTCTAGGCGAATTCGAACGCATTTTTAGCGATCTAACAGCACCTATCGAGACAGGACTGAATCACCAGTGCATTTATCTCATTGGCAAAACGATGTGTTGTATATCACTGCACTACGTATTTATTTATTTATTTATTGAACATATCAAACATATCCTCTATAAAGAGGCAATTACATGTTTTCGTCATACAAGTATAGAACACAGGAGACGACTAAATTGAGAATGCTGGCACGGTTGTCATACACACTTCACACACACAAACACTTAAACACAACACCATCAGTGTAAAAATCGGACAGTCAGGCATTGGAGAGCATGTGGCGTTTGAGGGCAGCCCCAAACTGCTTTCTACTGCCGCGACAATCACAAACATGGGACGGAAGAGAGTTCATGAGGGAAGCTGCCCTGTAGGCAAAGCGCCTCCGCCCGTACTCGTTTCGGATGCGCGGCAGATGGAGCTGGTTTCTGGCCCTCGTGGTCCGCGTGTGCACCTCGCTGTTTCTGACAAACAATGCAGCTAGCTCCTCGGGTTCGGACATGTCAGACAGCCTGCGCAAGGCCGTCAGAGTGGCGAGAGAAAAGGTACGTACGTACCTTTTCTCTCGGGAAGACGGCTTAGTGGTGTAGGCTAGACTGGCTGGATATTCATTTACGTCCCAACCCTTCCATTCACACCTCACCTGACTTGGATTAAAATATCACTCGTCATAGATAGCCGTAAACCCCTGTTGCCACCCGTATTGCGCATTGCCGCGACACTGGCTGATACTCACCTCCCCGAAACCTATATCCCTCGATATCCCTGATGTGGTGCTCCATGATACTCTGCACCATGATACCTGATCCACCTTGACCAGCTGCTGGTATTTGTATGGCCTGTTCTCGTCTGACGGTGCGTTGTTGTTTTGTTTCAGCACCACATCCCAGCAGCAGTCAGGCTTCCCCGGATCGAGTCTGGCACCGCGCTCCGACCCGTCCACCTGGCTGGACAACCTGAACTCACCCCTCATACAGGACGTACGTATTGTAACCTGAACTCGCCCCTCATACAGGACGTACGTACCACGCAACCTGAACTCGCCCCACATACAGGACGTACATATCACACAACCTGAACTCGCCCCTCATACAGACAGGACGTACTTATTGTAACCTGAACTTGCCCCTCATAGCAACCTGAACTTGTCCCGCATACAGGACGTACGTATTGTAACCTGAACTCGCCCCACATACAGGACGTACGTATTGTAACCTGAACCCGCCCCACATACAGGACGTACGTACCACGCAACCTGAACTCGCCCCACATACAGGGCGTACGTACCGCGCAACCTGAACTCGCCCCACATACAGGACGTACGTAATACAGTCTGAACTCATCCTTATAGCGGCCTGAACTCGCCCCTTGTAACAACCTGAACTCGCTCCTCATACAGGACGTATGTATTACTGAACTCGCCCCTCCATACAGGACGTACATACGTAGTACAACCTGAGCTTGCCCTTCATTACAACCTGCGTTCACCCCTCATACAGGACGTACATATGTATTACAGCCTAAACTCGCTATCAACTTCTCAGATGACGGACCTACGTCCTATCCTATTTACCTATGTCAGTTCGCGAGTGTGAAACTACGTGATCTCACGCCATGCTATCGGCTCGTGATTTATTTGATTTATTGAGACATCGGCTCATTAAGGCCCGATATTCAAATGGCATTTGCGTGATAAACCGTGAATTAATGCCTGGCCCCTGGTGGTGATCACTGAATGTTAATTAATCCACCAAATGGCCCCTGGAGGGGATCCATTAATCAGTTTTGTCAGGAGATGGTGATCGCTCAGATCACTCATAGGTTGTTCTGGACGCTAGCTAAGAATGGGGAGAATGAATCTCCTCTTGCATCCTGTAGTTTTCCCGAGCATTACTAGCTTCTGCTCCCTGTTCCTGACCCATCAAATGGAAACAAATGTCAAAAAAAAAAATCGAAAACCTCTGCAGCAATTCACTTCTAGCTAGCGCGGCGTGAGCCGATGACGGATGTCTAATGTCCATTGATTCCCCGCTCTTTCCACCGATCTGAGAGCCGAAATTCAGTGACCTAACCTGCCCGAGGTATGGACTGCGCCGCAGTGGGCACTGTGAGCACACCAAAGGAAGGCCGCGTACTGTAACGCAATGCGTTAGAAGCCGGCGAGGTGCCTCTAATTAGGCCCGTAATCGTTCCATCTTCTTCAGAGCTGGGAAGATTCACCAATATGCATATCCACTCAGTCACTGATGCAAATGTCTAAGGTGTTCAGTCTTCGCGCGGCATTGTGTTGTGTGCTCGTTTTTGTGACGTTCCCCACATCGTCGTTTCAGGAGGGTGATCAGAAGCAGCTGAAACTGCGTTTCGATGTTAGCCAGTACAAGCCCGAGGAGATTGTCGTCAAAACCGTCGACAACAAGCTCCTGGTGAGTATCCCGGTCTAGCGAGACAATCGCTATTGTATGATACACGAGCGCGCTTTTGTAACTTCTCTCCTGTCGCCATTTCTTTGTGTTCATTTGGTTCTTCGATGCGACTGGAGTCAAAGGATCTAGGAAGTTGGATTATTTGCGCAATGATAAGATATTTCACTGATAGATTCCAGATAACCTACCTAACTATTTACCAAGCTTCGACGTGTACTGGCATTGAAGTTCGCAGCACACGGCAGCTATAGTTCGTTTTATTTCAAAACTGGTTTCACCACCTTTCCGTGCTTCTACCCTCAGGATACAGAAATCCTTCTCCTCCACGCCGCAACCCCCCTCCGGGCTGGACAGGCAACTTTATCTCATGCGGGCTGCTCCCTTGGAACCGCTGCTCCCGAGGGAGCGCACCCCGTAGCCGGGTGCAGTGAGTGCCTTGGGGCTGGGTGGCCTGTCCTCTGGACGGGCTCAGCCCCGGCGACTCACTAGGGTGCCTGCCCAGACCAATGTCTCCCCCTTTATCCTATTATCCTCCCGGCTCTGAAATGGTCTTGCCAGACCGAAAGGGCCTAATCCCAACAAAACAAACAAACAAAACCGGTTTGGCTTCAAGTTCATTATCGAAGGTCTCACGTGAGTTTTGGCAACATCAGCGTCTGGTCAATAATTTCTTACCGGTAAAATATTCAGTTTCAAATTATGTTCGGTAAATACATGGAAATTGTATCTTCAAAAATCATCATACTATGATGACGTCACTGGTGGCAGCTGGCTCCCAATGTCCCTACGGTGGCACCAAATGTCGACAAGTTTTAGGAAAGCTTCATTTTTCACTGTTGCCGTGGTCAGAATCGAGTAAACGGTTCTGTTTATGGTAGGTATACATTACATTGCAATGAAAGTTTCACAGCATGACATCACCACTGTTCTAATGTCTAGTTCTAAAAAGCACGTATGGAATTTATCGGGAATAATTCACATGTTAAAATAAGGCGACGTTCGATTTTCTCAAGTTCAGTTTTTGGCCGTTTCGCTGGCTAAAACTCGTGCTTAGTCGAAGAACGTCATTGGAGCCAAACCGGTTTTGAAAAAAATGAACATAGTGCCATACAGGGCAGCGTGCTCCGTCCTCTATTCTGTCGCCTCACCTCTATTCCTCCTCTATTCTGCCGTCTCCTGCCTGTCGCCTCACCTTCGTGCTGCTGCGGTTTCCTGCACACCCTGCTCTCGTATTCAGCCTGCTCGGCGTCGACCAGCGTCAGTCCCGTGCACCTGGCGGCCTGTCGCGGGTCTCGGGCCGGGCGCTTCCGAATGATCTCAATACCTTTGTCCGAGGCGGCTCTATTGTTCGCTCTAGCTACAGCAGCGATGGGGAGGGTGGGGGAGGGGGGAGGGGTAGATCGTGTGACACCCGCCGGTGAGCTTCTCCCTCTCCCCTCCCCGGCCTGTCTGTCCATCCCATCCCCCAGGCACCCTGCCCCTTTCTCTGCCGCCCCTCCCATTGCAGCGTCTTGACACCGGCTGGCACATAGGCTGGCAGCTCGGGCATTCCTGCCACAGGGCTGGCAGCCGCTCAGACCGCGCCGGCTTCGTTTGACGTCGGCCCGTCGTGTAACTCGTTCGCTGGAGTATGTGGGCTCAGGGTGGACGAGTGATCACCCGCCGCCGTTTTCAAAGGAGCTCCACACGACATGATGCATTTAGCCGTAGATGAGGTGGTTTTGCTCTGGCTTCGTGGTACTGGGAAAGTACCACAGTCTGACTTCCTATTCTATCTTCATTGGCTGATAGCTGGGGTCACGAACCAAGAAGGCCCGATGTCGCCGTTTGTCCCCCTTCATGTCCCATGGCTGCCGGACGCTGAACTGTGACGAGTCTGACCGAGCGCTAGCCGCCGACTTCTCTGTCCCATTCTGTGCGTGGGTAGTACTCGCCTCTGATGGCGGCGCTTCTGCCGTTATTATTCATTGGACCGGCGCCGCGCCGCGCTGAGCGAATGCTGACTGATGGCGGCAGAGGCTCGGTCGAACTCCCGCGGTCACGGGTCGCAGGGACGTGACCCCGCGACCTGTGACCCCGTCTGTCGACAGGACAGCGCCGCGGTGCACTCTATAACAGGACTGATCGCGCGCACCCGCTGTGCTGCACCCGGCTACCACGAGTTTAGTGGCTCATAGGACACGTCCTCCGCATGTTTTATACTAAAGATCAACTGTTAAGATGCTAGTAAAATTTCACAGGTCTTACAGTTAAGATGCTAGTAAAATTTCACAGGTCTTTTTGGAGATTCGTTTTTTCTCTCTTTTTGCTGTAATTGGTTCGGAATATTCTATGACCGTTGCAGCCAAACCAACTCAGTAAATATGCGTCGTCAATCTATTCGAATCTCTGTCACGTTGCTATATCGGGTTTCTCTTTTGTTTCCAATAGATGTAGCGGGTAACGATTCGTAACTACGATGACCATCGACCAGGCATCAAATATTCGTTACGTAACTAAATGGATGCCTTCATTCGCTCAGTGATTAGTTGAGCCATTAATTGACTACCAATGGTTGCATGTGGTGGCCTAATTTATCTGTGAGCTGGCTGTGGCATGCCTTAGGTCTGAGAAGGAACGGTCTTGGTCTCCGCATGCGTCCTCTCGCTTTCTCCGGGTTTAAAATCTCCGGACACCCACTTACTCGCTTCGTGGCGGCCCGACGAAGAATCGGACGGGACAGGGAGAGTGTGCGTGGGTGGTGGACCGGTGGAGAGAGAGAGAGAGAGAGAGAGAGAGAGAGAGAGAGAGAGAGAGAGAGAGAGAGAGAGGGAGAGAGAGAGTGAGTGAGTGAGTGAGTGAGTGAGTGAGTGAGTGAGTGAGTGAGTGAGAGAGAAAGAGGAGGGAGAGGGAGAGAGAGAGAGAGAGAGAGAGAGAGAGAGAGAGAGAGAGAGAGAGAGAGAGAGAGAGAGAGAGAGAGAGAGAGACCGGCGCCGGCCCGCCCTCCGCCGTTTTCCACCGGCCGCTGGTTTACGGGCGGGTCTCTGCTCTCTCCCCTGAACCAACACTCACAAACGGACGCGGCCGGACAGAGAAAAAGCGCCGTGTCGGCCGGCTGATGGGTGTCGATCTCTCGTGTGAGAGCCGCGCCCGGTGTCGGTGACGGCGCCGCGGGTCACTCTATTCTGTCGCTAATGGTTCCCGGTGACAGGGCGGGGCCGCACCGGTGGATCGAGTAACGGCCAAGGTCGTCACTCGTCACACCTAACCAGACCGGCAGGCGTCGGGCCGAATGTGTGTGTGGGGGGGGGGGAGGAGGGTCGTGTGCCGCCGGTGCTGGGACCGTTGTCTGTTTGATGACTCATCCTGACTGGATCGGTGTGGGCCGTCAGCGTGGTGTCACAGCTCGCTGTCGACAGGGATGGGCTGGGAAAGGTGACCGCGATACCGCCCTCCTGTGGTCGTCTCCAGTGGTCTCGCCCCGCTCCCCTACGCTGCTGGATTCCTGCCCCGCCCTACCCCGTTCGTGCTCCTCCCGCTGAGCTGAACTCGCTGAGTTAGACGAGTTTGTCACGAACGAGCGCGGCGACTGAGAACAGCTCGTTTTCAGCCGCTAATATGGTGGATAATGGAAATGGGTGCCCTGCTCCCGGATGTCACCATCGCTCCTCTCTCCTCTCCCCTCCTCTCTCCCCATCGCTCCATCCATATGACTTCAGCGAGGAGGGGCCGAGCGATACCTATGTGAACTGACGTAAACCCGGCAGATTTTATGGCTATCGAATGTGAGGGAAGATAAGGAATAGATGCGGCTACTTTATTGACTTGAAGGGCGTGGAACATTCTTGTCATCGATTTTTTATTGTTAGACGTTTCAAGGAAATAATGGCCAGGATGCGGACCAGCCCACCGCATGACTCTTCGTCATATTCGGCCACGTCACAGACACTGGAAACGCGGCAAAAAGTGCCGGTCCAGACATCGAACAGCCGATCAGCGTGACGTCATTCTCGAAGGGCGGTCTGTGGTTAGACTGAGGCAGACGAGAGCTACAACCCGGCCCCTTTCCCCAGTGAGAATGCCGTTCCTGGTGGCATACTTTCGGTCTGATAGCCGTTTTTAGTATCTCGTGAATGACTTTCGGTACTAATCGTATGACTAATAGCATGCGCGTCTGGCGAACCGCCTGTTTATTAGGCCGGGAATCAGGGCTGCGGAGTCGGAGTCGGAGTCGGTCGGAGTCGACAGTTGTGACCGGAGTCGGAGTCGGAGTCGGAGTCGAGTTTAGAAACCCGAGCCGGAGTCGGAGTCACCGAAAATCTGTCGACTCCGCAGCCCTGCTAGGTCTGCGGAGTCGGAGTCGGGAGTTGGAGTCGGTCGGAGTCGACAATTCTGCCCGGAGTCGTAGTCGGAGTCGGAGCTGGTTTTTGAAAGCCGGAGTCGGAGTCGGAGTCGCCGAAAATCCATCGACTCCGCAGCCCTGCCGGGAATCAACTGTCGTATCTAAACCAGCATCCAGTATGTTGGCTTAGTCGCAGTTCGACGCAATCAAATAGAACGGAATGCTATTTGTTGAACCGAATTTTGGCCATAGGTATAGTGTTTCCCGGGCCAGCTTGCCAGCGGGCTGTCCAAATATCAAGAGAAAACTGGCATGAAGCCCACACCGGAACTCGGGCCAGATCCGATAGGACAGGGAGACGAAAACAAACTGCAGTTGTTGTTTTCGTTAGTGCTGTGCTGAATAATGCTCCTGTCACAGTGTCATCGTGGCTTTCTGTAGTCAACAAAGGACAGTTTTCACAAGGGAACGCGAAATCGTCTACTAGGTTATCATCAGTATTGCATTTTATCAGCGTTAAGCCCTCACCTTTCTTTGGTTAAAAGGCGATAGTGAGCGGTGCCGATTACCAGTAGCCGACGCCACTCCCCTGCCCCACCCAGGGGACCCTCTGACCCTCGACCTGCTGGCGCGCTCCCCCTCCCTTCTCGACGCCGGTCTGTCGGTGCCCTGTTCTCATCGGTATTCGGTGCCGGCCTGTCACCGACGGCCGATTCGGAGCCGCCACGCCCTGAGGGTTGCACAATGCCGCTGACCCGGCGCTGAGTCACACTGCTGGGCCCGACGCCTGCCGTGATGTCATCTACCTCAGCGGGCGAGCCGAGGAGCAGTCAGTCTCTCGTCACACGCGGTGACGTCATCCTTCCTGACGCTACATGACGTCATAGTCGCGGTCATTGATTTCAACTGGGAGCGGTCGATTGCCTTGAGCCGATTGTCTCGTAACTGTATAAGTTGGACTGGGTCAGACTCCAGAGCAGCGTGATGATTTGGGAGTTTCTTTATTATGTGGGGAATGAATGGCTAGACGACGTTCGCAGGTTACATGTTGGTGTATCATATCACGGAACATTTTTCCGGTACTGAATGGTCGAACGAGGCCCCGTAAATTCCATCAACGGGTGCTTCAATAAGCGCGCATCGAGTCGAGTCGAGTCGGTGTGCTTGAGGAAAGTTCGTAAACAGTTTAAATTCAGCAGAAACGATGCAATCAGGTCACACCTGGCTCGTGTATCCGCTGTCACTTGTACTCCAGTAACAACAGGTTGCATGCTACACTGTATGTACACACTAAAATCACCCATTGCTCAGAAATGTCGATGTGTGTTGCGATTTTGTTGAAAATTGATGCATTCGCGTGCTATTGGCGGATGCAAAAATCGTGGTTCTAGGTACCTGTCTAGAACGACGAACTGCTTCTTGTTTTATTGAGTGCTTACCTATGTATGTCAAGTGCTGATGACGTGGACGGTGGATATACCCAGTTCAGTTGTGTCGCGCTTTTTACTTCCGCCGTGCAGGGTTCCCTTTTCCTCCCCACCCACTCATTCAGCTGGAGCCCCGTAGGTACATTTATCAGCTGGGCTTTGTCCTGCCCACATCCCTCGAGATGCCGGCCTCATCTTGTCAGCGCTCAGCGCCTTCAGCTGTTTGTTTTCTGAAGCGTCTTCTCCTCGTGTATCCCGTCCACAGGTGCACGCCAAGGCTCCGTCTGTCTCCCTCAGGGCCCAGCCTGGTACTAGAAGTCTATCAACTGACAACTCCACCCGATTGTCTGTTCTCAGGTGCACGCCAAGGCTCCGTCTGTCTCGCTCAGCTCTCCGTTCAGTTACTGGAAGTCCATCGACTGACCTCTCCCCCTGTGTCCGTTCTCAGGTGCATGCCAAGCACGAGGAGAAGTCGGATAGCCGCAGCGTCTACCGCGAGTACAACCGCGAGTTCCTGCTGCCGCAGGGCTCCAACCCGGAGATGATCAAGTCGTCGCTCTCCAAGGACGGCATCCTGACGGTGGAGGCGCCGCTGCCGGCGCTCGAGGGCGGCAGCGGCCACATCCCCATCACTCACCAGTAGCTGCCCCGCCGCCGCCGCAGTGCTGCCGCCTACCGGCGCCGTGTCGAATCTCGTGCGGCTGCTGCGCCCCGCCCACCTCAGGTGCCATATACCGGCCGCGCCGGGCGGCCGGGCGCCGCGCGCTGCAGCCCGCCGCCAGCGAGACAGACCCCTGCACCCCCGCCGCGCGTCTCCCGGCTTCAAACGGACTTAAATCCGAATTTCATTGTAGCACAATGTGATAGTGAAATGTGTACGTTTAATAATTTATTAAAACACAAAATGTCGTTTTATCGTTCACGCGGAGTGGGCCCGGCTCCTTGTCGCTGATGTATGTGAATACGAATACGAACGTCGACAGTCTGGGCTTTGTCACACCGAGAGGAATCCTATTCTGATACAAATAGCACTGACAACGCTGACAACGTCGTCCAGGTAATCGCTGTACCCGCAGTTGCCGTCGATGCTGTGATCACTTCACTTCACTTCAACGAGACTCAACGATCTGCGAAACATTCGATTAATCGAGGCGTTCAACAGAGAAGCAGGTCGTCGCTCGGCAATATCAAACGCAAATGCCTTCCGAAGAAGAGTTCCTGACATATTCAAACTCTATCACCCATGTGTTCACGTGACGTGACACGTGGTTACAACCACCCCAGTCAGCTGAGAGAAGACATTGACCCATCGGAGTAACGGAGCACGGCAGTCACGACACTGTTCTCCGGGTACCAATCTTGCGGTTAGCTCATAAACCCGGTGACATGTCACTGGTATCGACGCGGGTTTGTCGTTTGACGTACCGAGTGACGTCCCGCCCGATAGCTACATGAAACGGTGAGATATCAGGCCGATGTGCTAAACCTTATGAGGATTCATGAAAACTTCTGCTACAGAGTTTAGTCACGGTTTATGTGGCGTCACTCATTTCCTCAGAAGCTGCTAGCGTTGTTAGTCCCCATAGCAACCAAGCCTGGACCATCCCGTTAACATCATAAATGATACTTGACGTCATCTCGAATAACAATCAGAGGTCGTTTGCGTCTAGAATCTCCCACACCACACTTCCAAGATACCGCATTGCCTCCAGCCAAGAAGTGGGCCTATCATTTATACAGTGGAATGGGGCGTTCCCCGGCTATCACTGCGAGTTCGACCGTCTGTTGCCAGCCGGGCCTCTCGGAGCCGTGACGTACCGGACAGCGCCGGACAGCTGGCGGGATCAGCTGGTGGAATCAGCTGGTGGCTGGCGATGCCAGCTCTGGCGCTGGCTACGACGTCGCTTCAATGTCACGCTATAAATACTCGGGTTGGAGCCAGCGAGAGGCTAGCTTCCTGCTCAATTGCTTAGAGCAGGGCACGCTGCTATGAACAGGGGAGTGCCACCGGGCTAGGTGGACAAAGCCATTGGCGATTGGTTCAGACTACTTGCAGAAGAGGGACGTTGATGGTTAATTTAGACAAAAGAAGTATGGAGAGGCAGTGACAGGACCAGCGGCTAAGTGTCCGGGTGACCGGACGGGAAACCGACCGCAAAATCCAGTAGGACGTCTCATAATACATAGAGTTGTTAAAAAGAAAACAGCCCATAATTCGATATGAGACGAATAAATGCCGACGACGAACTAGATACAGACTCATGGGTCATCTGAGTAATGCATCAACTCGAGTTCAAATCACCGAAGCTCCTCGTGCTGAATCGAACTTTCGTTACAGCTCTGTCGCGGCTGACTTGGCGTCCAGCGAGAAGACGACCGGTCTTTGATCTATCGACAGGACGAACGGATTCCTGTAAACGTTACTGGGTTACAGAATAGCGGCTCCCCTATCTGGGCACGTGGTTGACAAAAAGACGGCGAGTTCCTGATTTGCAATAAAGGCGTCGATGACCGTGCTAATTGTATCCCTACTCGCTCGGTCACCTGTTGCTTTGAATAAGACAAAGGTCGCTCTTGAAAGTCGTGTATGACATGGTTCGGTAATTTGTATTACGTATTTTACCAAAGGCTTTCCACGGGTCACTAAAACATGCGATGCTCAATCCAACGTGAACCTCTGCGTTACCATACGTTACTCACAGTTACCATAAAAGGCACATGTCATGGTAAATATTACAACACCTAAATGGGGAATGTTGCAGTAAGTTCACGTCCCGCGTAAAACATTGACTAGTGCCAAGCCGATGGTTCAAATGTCTCCACACTACAGAATATTGCCCCCATTGAAACATCGTCACAAAATGAAGCGCATTCACGATTTTCGAGCAAAAACCAGTTCAAGCACATAACTAGTCACAGTATCGAAAACTTTATCAAATCGGCATCCCAACAAACCGTGACAAGGTATCCATCTCAACAGTTGTCGCCGGCGCCATGGGAAAAAGCAACATGTTTGCATTGAACACACATTACACAGTCAACATGAAACCCACGGTTCAGCTACGTGTCACGCTAACGCAACGCTGACACTAGGGCTAAGCGTGTCACACAGCAAATGACTGGGAGTAAAAACGTTGGCCTCATATTATCACAGTTCCCCCGAGGGTATCCAGGGAATCAATGGGGTTGATGGGGACACAAGACTTGAGCCGATCGCAAATCCACCAGCATTTTCAAAACATATGGTGATGGTAAGTGATGAGTACATTACCGCAGCCTATCTTAATGCCTGATGAGTCGCTGACACAATATCTACCCGTTATCACTAAATATTACCGAAACCCATAATAAGGTTACCCACCGGGCTTACACTTGACTATTTTCCCTGTCCCATAAAATTATTCATCACAATTAAGAACATGGGTGCGGGCACATCAGGGCACAGACTGCACGACATACGTCAACACCAGTACAACCCTCGTTTATCCTAAACACCCAGGTCATTTGACGTATCACATGCGAATCTCAGCAAACGTTACCCAGAAGCCAAGCGCGGTGCTTGAACTGGTAAGATTGACTATCAATGTGAAAGAGTTCGAATTTAAACGGTTCCGATACTTATGGTAAAGTATGTCTGGTGATACAAAGAATGATTAGGGTAATTTTGAGTGGATTTCACATTAGTATTACAATTGATCAAATAGAAAATATCCACAATCGGTTCCTTACACATAAACAACTTGCAGGGAACAATGACAAAACAATGCACCGGCTTCATTTGGATGAGACCACATCGAAGCAGAATGCACTCACTGGCCACATAATAAAGTCTATAGAAGTTTGAGCACCGTCTACGATGAGCTACGCATTATTTCCACCCCTCCTATCACGTAACGTTTTCTCCAGACAATATAAGCACCTCTTGTTTCAAAAACCACATAACACCCTTCAACCCCTAAGACTCTGATCACATCACGCCTTACCATCCTCGCCATGGAAGAACTTACGCACAATGACGTTGATGAACTCATTTCGAACTCGCCGTTTGAAGTCCTCATACCAGGCGAGGAGGCGGCGGCGACGGGCGGCGCGCTGGCGCGCAGTCAGCGCCGCCTCTCGCCGCAGCAGCTCTGGCAGATGACGCCAGTCTCGCAGCCAGAGGAACGGGGCGCCGTGGCGGCGCAGCAGGCCCGGGCCCGGCCTACACCGGCCCACTGGCGGCTCGTCCGCGACCATCACCGGCACGGAGCCGAGCGCCGCCGCCTCGTACTGCCGGTAACACTCCGGGTTGATGCCGGCCGGACTGAGGGTGAGGTCTGACTGCAGCAGGGCGTCCACGTACTCGGAGGCGGACTGGTGCGTCTCAGACTCTGTCCACCTGTGGACGGCAGGGAAGGGAAGACATGTTACACGCTACAGTCACTAAACCGTTCTTTCCACTCATCACGCTTTACGTTGTTTTACGTACAAAAATAACAAATGTATTCCATACATATGTAAAGCCCACGAATCATCGTCCCTACATTTCCAATGTTGCAAAACACATCCCTCAAATAGCCTAACACACGCCAAAACTCTTCTCGCTCACTCACTGTTGCCGCGTCTTGAGCAGGCAGCTGTGGTCGGGCACGGACAGCAGGCTCTTCAGCAGCGTCTCCCGTGACGAGTTGGCGTACACGGTGCCGAAGAAGTTGCAGCGGTGCGGCCGTGGCGACTTGACGTCTATCGTGTAAGGGCCCTGCGGGAAACCTCGGTACCTGCGGCGGGCGGGGAGCGGTTAGGATCGATAGCAGCCGAAGGAACCTCTGCCTCTGCTACATATGCTGCAGTAAGGTGATATGTTTTCAGCCATTGTTGGGTTTCCAGCAATGCGAGTCAAGAGGGGAACACAAATTTTTAGCTGACCCTAACGTAGCTTTTTAACTTCCTAAGCTGTATTTTTACATACAGATCTCAAAATACACGATCAATTAGAAAAAAATGACGAAAAGGGATCCTGCAAGACCGTCTGAGGCTCAGAGACGCAAACACTGGCGACACTCAGCCACTGGCCCCTCTGTGAGTGGCCGTCACCGCACCGTCACCGTCTCCCCATCACCGTGCGCACCATCTTGCCGTGACTCACGTGGCAACACCGAGCGGCCACTGGAAGACGTCCTCGCCATTCACGTCCGGGTCATCGTACACGACGAACAGCGCGTCGACGCGGCCGCCGTGGGCGCGCAGGTACGGCCGGATCCAGGTGTTGTTACAGAACTCACTGCCGTGCAGCACGACGGCCGTGTGCTGCAGAAGCACCAGGCGGGGCAGCAGGTCCAGCCACTGGCGCGCCACCCGAACCTGGTGAAGCGATGGGGGGAGGGGGGGAGCCGAGTGAGACCGGTTGAGCCAGGTATAGTGCAGGGGACGGTAAATCAGTACGAATGGGTTACGATGACGAGCAGGCAAGAAAATAACAAGCATGAATATGTTACGATATGCAGAGGTCAGGTGAAACTTATGAAATTACGATGTCGTAATATATAACCATGCATATTGTATATTGTACATGAATAATAAATGTTACAACTAATAGGCAACGACACGTATCACTCGCGTAATATCTTGTAGCACATCCAATTAAGCAACACGATTCCCTATAATTCTGGCCATCGTGAGGCACATAACCCAGTGTTTGTGACTTTGGCGATTTCGGCGCTGACCTTTTCATCGGTGCGTCCGTTGAGTATGAGCACCAGGTACCGGACATCGGCCGGCACTGTGTTGGGCACCACGCCGGGACCATGCCGGAATGTGAAGGTGTACTTGTAGAAACGGCGCGAGCCCACGCTCCACGGCTCGCCAGGTTTCTCCTGACGACGGCACAACGTTTATTATGATATCATTATCAACCAACATGCTCTGACTGCCACTTTGCCTTGCAGCTGCCTCCAACACTCTAACCAACAGAAAAAGCCAGTAGTTTCTTTGATTGATCTAAGCAAAACAATTTATCTGCACTTTTTAATTATAAAATTCTATGCACAAAATAAATGGTCAATGATCCTTAACCCTCGCCAGGCGAGGGCCTTTTCAATAACACGGACGGCGAGGGCGGGGGGATTGGTAGGCCCCCCCCCCCCCCCCAGCGATTGACTCCTATGGTACTTAGAAACGCCAAAATTACAGGGTAGTTGGGCCCATAGAAGGTCTCGCCCTCGTGAAAATTTTGTGACTTTAAGTCAATATTTAGGAAGGTTTTGGGGGTTATAAGTGCAAAAATGTCGCTAAAATATGTCAAAAGTTTTTCGCTTTTAAGTTTTAACTTTTCATCTAGTAAAGATAGAGCAAAAATAAAAGCACCAGTGAACTCAGTACGCTCGTGCGCATTGAATGACATACTCTGTTACCAATTTCAATAAACTCTAAATTTTCTTAAAAATTAAGTAAAATAAATTAATGAAGTTTAAGTCAATCAAAATGCATCATATTTCATATCATTCAAATCGCCTGAGCACAAGGAACACAATGACACAATTTTAGAAGCTCTTGTCTCATTGTGTGCCAAGTTATTAGCAAAAACGTAGTTTGACCTTAGTTGACCTTAGTTGACCCGACCTAAGCGTTCTTGCAGCTTGCAAACACCAACTAGATGTAAATCAAGGTAGTACAATACAAAAACGTTACAATAGAGCACAAAAATCTCATCTTGACACATTCGGGCAAATTTCCTTAACACTCGCCGGCACAGGCCATTTTGCGCCCTTCGACGGCACCAGGGGGGTTGGTTCGACCCCCCCCCCTCGCGTTTGGCCCCTGATCAAGTTAGAGCTTCGCGGAAAAATGAGCGTGTTGCCCGTCACGAGAGGAAGCCGATGATACCCAATCTTAAGGTCCTAGGTCATCGGTTGACCTTCCAGGTCAGGTCAATGACCCAAAAATCGGGAAAATCGGGACCTGTTAGAAAGTCGTAATATAAGGCTGCTATGGGCGTTTTCGGTGTGCTGGTCACGAATATCGTGCTAGTTTTGATCACAGATGATGTCTTTAAGCATTTAGACCAGGTCGGGTCAGGTCAGGTCAGGTCAACCGGTAGGGGTCGTGACAGATATTCGTAGTACGTGTCAACCGCCTCTGACAGCTTTGTAACATGTTACGAATGCACCAAAACTACTTCGTAAATGTTCAAATGGTTGCTAAATTCAAATTCAGCTCCAAAAACTAGCCTACAAACATGTAAAACTCGAAAAAGTGAACCGAGGTCACCAAAGGTCAATGATGACCTCACCTGACAACATCCACCCTAATGCATGGGAACAACATCAAATCACATGTTTGAACATTTGAAACCACGAAAAACTTGCAAACGAGCGGCTAATGCGAGCCGACATGCGCCGAATCGCGATTCCGGCCAAACATGGTCTCGGAAAGTAGGTCACAGGTCAAAGGTCATTCGGGTCAGGGTCATGAAATTTTCAGGGTAGGTGTAAAATTGATCAATGCGAGGGTATTGAAAGTTCCGTCGCGATCGGCCGCTTTTTACGCGAGTTATTCGCGAAAACATTGGGGGGGGGGGGTGCATCAACCCTGCGCCGGCGAGGGTTAATTTGTGATGACCTCTAGATGACCTCAGGTCAACCGAATTTGAAAAAACTGGGGTGCAAAATATGATGGACTCGGTGAGCTAAGCATATCCTAAAAGTTTGAATCAAATCAATGAAAGACTCTAGGTTTCGTGAACAAAATTGCAATTTTAGTGTCATTTTGGCAATGTACTGGTCTTTGTGACCATGTGACCTGATCTCAGGTCACTGGAATGTTAAACTCCCAGGTCAAGTAATTAATAGATGTTCCAAGTCCTGTCTCAAATTTGGTAGCGCTACGTGCCATAATACCCACGCTATCAACGAAGAACCCTGGCATTCAGTCGCCGCTTAATTAGTCCAATTTTACCCTGACCTTGTACCGGTTTGGTGTCCTGGCGACCTGCGCTGAAAAGGCTGGGACCTGAAACCTGAATTTTCAGGATAGGTGCGAAAAGGTTGCCCCAGATGGTATGGTATACCAAATTTGGTGGCGCTGCGCGCCGCCGTTTGCAGTGCCCTCCCTCACTGGGCGAGGGTTAAGATGAATTCCAAGTTACCAGATGTATTATTGGAGTAGTAACCTGTTGACTGTTGGTACCATTGTGAGGTCCAACATTGTACCTACGTTACAGGGCCTATTATTGTTTCTGTAAAAACCTTCACGTGGTCAGTGCAAAACCCATTTAACCCAAGTAACTGAAAACTGCTTGACCAATAATTGACTAAATCACCTGCAGTCTGGCATTGAATATGCTATTCCAGAAGTACCACCCAATGGCCGCCTTGCTCCATATCTCAATGTGCTTGATCTCATCTTCTGATGGATTGTAACCAGCTTCTGAGGGTTGAACCACTGATGTTGGTAACACCTCTTCAGCTGTGGAAAAAAATCATGATCTAAAATGGCTTACATTGATACAAGGGCAATTAAGAAATTAACCTTAAAATTAGATATAGTATATACACAGCATAATTGTTAAAATTTGCAAAAAAAGGCAAATGATGATTATTAATCACCTGCTCATTCAAATAGGTAATAATTTGTCATCTGATATTCAGGGAGATGCTTATTTCACTGTTCGTTATTTAGCTTTAGAATATGCACCTAAACCTATATGCACCAGTTACATATTGGTTTCTAGACATAACTAGATTTACTAAAAATAGGCACTCACATTTTATTACTTACCTTTTTGTTTTCTCGGATCTGGGGTGCAGCTTGAAGGTGAAGACTGTCCACAATTATCCTTTTTTGCTTCAGACACTAAATATTTGCTAGCCATTAACATTGTAAGCAGAAGATATAAAACAAAAAATATGACAGACAGTACTGATAGTGATATTCTTACCTTCATCTCAAAGTTATTCTATTTTCATTCAGGACAACTAAAAATCTGAAAATGTTGCATTGTTAACTTAAAGGGAAATATCTTTACAAATAGAATCAGCTTCATCATAGACGAAAGAAATTATCTTGATAACAATATTCAAATCAAAATGAAGCATGATAAGGCATCAGCTAATTGCTTATTTTTATTTTATATTGTCCACGTATATGCCTTTTAAAGTTCAAAGGAAAACAGATTTGACTTTGTTTGCTTTTATTTAAGAACAATATTTCTTACTTGCATTGCAAGTAATAAATATTGATTATATTGATGAAATATTGATTGCAATAGCTCAGAGAAGAAATTATGGGTGACATCCAACCAAAAATCTCATAACTGACAAGAAACTAACTATTCAATGTGAATAAACCAAAACAGGCCAAGTGCTAAATTCTTAAATCTTCTGAGAGGATTGAACAAGTGACAGCCTTTGGGCTTGGATCTCTCAATGTCTCTAAGTTAAATAAGATATTAATGACAGTTCATGTTGATGTTGATGTTGATGTGGGCGGGCGCTCTATGGCCTTATTGCTGGTGCGCCCTAATAAAACACCAAATCATCATCATCAAATACAGCACCTTCATAGTTTCAAGCTTGTATGATATAACTGGACATTTTAGTTAAAGACACATTTTTCAGTTACTATCCCACAAGTCCCATTAAAATACACGAAATTGAAATTGAAATTGTAATTTTATTATACCATCAGGCATCAACAATGCTGATCCCATTTGATTCGATTTTGATTCGTCTTTTGTGAATATGATAATACAATAATACATCAACTGATATCATTAGCTGTTCATCAAGAAAATAGCATCGATTCAGAGGCAAAATATCGGTATTCGTAAAACAAAATCGACATAATACTCACGTTTTCAATTTGAATGATTTGGATACTCTCGATACTCTACAAATTTGTTTGTCATAGTTCGTGGCAGTCGCGCTATATATGTAGATGGATCAAGACTTTTGATTATTGTATGAAATCACGACGTCTGTCAATTCAGCAGCAACGAATATCAGCCTCACAACAGCATATTTCGGGGTGTTTCATTTTGGCTCAAAATTGCTATATAGGGCCTTCTCGATGCGCTGATTCCGAAAATGTATCTCTTTGGTGTGATATTTTGCACCGTTAACGAGTTAACGGCCAATCAACATTTTAACGGGAAATGGCGGGTCTTTCGATTTGGCTGAAAATCGGTATACAGGGCCTCCTCGATGCGATGATTCCGAAAATGTACCACTTTGGGGTGGTATTTTGCACCTTTAACGAGTTAACGCCTAACGGCCAATTAACATTTTGACGGGAAACGGCGGGGTCTTTCGATTTGGCTGAAAATCGGTAAACAAGGCCTCCTCGATGCGCTGATTCCGAAAATGTACCTCTTTGGGGTGGTATTTTGCACCTTTAACGAGTTAACGCCTAACGGCCAATTAACATTTCAACGGGAAACGGCGGGGTCTTTCGATTTGGCTGAAAATCGGTTAACAAGGCCTCCTCGATGCGCTGATTCCGAAAATGTACCTCTTTGGGGTGATATTTTGCACCGTTAACAAGTTCACGCCCAATTAACATTTTAACGGAAAACGGCGGGGTCTTTCGATTTGGCTGAAAATCGGTATTCAGGGCCTCCTCGATGCGCTGATTCCAAAAATGTACCACTTTGGGGTGGTATTTTGCACCTTTAACGAGTTAACGCCTAACGGCCAATTAAAGGGACCCTCCCACCTTCAAAAAAGTTAATGAATTGGCATGAAAGTGATGTCGCTCGGTTCAGAAAGAGCAAAAACGAATATCTACCAAATTTCATCGAAAAATATTCACCGGTTTTCAAGATATTAGACTTTTACTTTTGTTTACTTTTTTGGATCTCCGCTGTTCCTAGCGACTTTATTTGAAAGTGCGGCATTTGTTGCGCGCAAAGCAGCATATACCACCGCGTGCTACAAAATGTTTTAGTCAAACATTTAAAAATCGTTAGATATCTGCGATGACGTCACACATTCAGAGGGGTATTCCTATGCATTAGCCCCTCTGAATCAAAATGCTGCAATTTTGAAATTCAATATTTCCGATTTAAGGCATTTCTCGATGTTGTGAGTGCCGAAACCGGTAATTGTGAGCCAGGGACCCCATTTTGGCTATCTCAACTCAAATCTAATGTTAAGGTGGGAGGGTCCCTTTAACATTTTAACGGGAAACGGCGGGGTCTTTCGATTTGGCTGAAAATCGGTAAACAAGGCCTCCTCGATGCGCTGATTTTGAAAATGTACCTCTTTGGGGTGGTATTTTGAACCTTTAACGAGTTAACGCCTAACGGCCAATTAACATTTTAACGGGAAACGGCGGGGTCTTTCGATTTGGCTGAAAATCGGTTAACAAGGCCTCCTCGATGCGCTGATTCCGAAAATGTACCTCTTTGGGGTGGTATTTTGCACCGTTAACGAGTTAACGGCCAATTAACATTTTAACGTAAAACGGCGGGGTCTTTCGATTTGGCTGAAAAACGGTATTCAGGGCCTCCTCGATGCGCTGATTCCGAAAATGTAACTCTTTGGGGTGGTATTTTGCACCGTTAACGAGTTAACGGCCAATTAACATTTTAACGGGAAACGGCGGGGTCTTTCGATTTGGCTGAAAAACGGTATACAGGGCCTCCTCGTCCCTCGATGCGCTGATTCCGAAAATGTAGGTACCTCTTTGGGGTGGAATTTTGCACCGTTAACGAGTTAACGGACAATTAACATATAACGGGAAACGGCGGGGTCTTTCGATTTGGCTGAAAATCGGTCTACAGGGCCTCCTCGATGCGCTGATTCCGAAAATGTACTTCTTTGGGGTGGTATTTTGCACCGTTGACGAGTTAAGGGCCAATTAACATTTTAACGGGAAACGGCGGGGTCTTTCGATTTGGCTGAAAATCGGTTTACAGGGCCTGCTCGATGCGTTGATTCCGAAAATATGCCTCTTTGGGGTGGTGTTTTGCACCGTTAACGAGTTAACGGCCAATTAACATTTTAACGGGAAACGGCGGGTCTTTCATTTTGGCTGAAAATCGGTGTACAGAGCCTCCTTGATGCGCTGATTCCGAAAATGTACCTCATTGGGGTGGTGTTTTGCACCATTAACGAGCTAACGGCCAATTAACAATTTAACGGGAAACGGCGGGGTCTTTCGATTTGGCTGAAAATCGGTATACAGTGCCTCCTTAGTCCTTGATGCGCTGATTCCGAAAATGTACCTCTTTGGGGTGGTATTTTGCACCGTTAACGAGTTAACGGCTAATTACCATTTTAACGGGAAACGGCGGGTTCTTTCGATTTAGCTCAAAATCGGTGTACAGGGCCTGCTCGATGCGCTAATTCCGAAAATGCACCTCTTTGGGGTTGTATTTTGCACCGTTAACGAGTTAACAACTAATAAACATTTTAACGGAAAACGGCGGAGTCTTTTGATTTAGCTGAAAATCGGTGTACAGGGCCTGCTCGATGCGCTGATTGACCCCGCTCGACCCCGCTCGATGCGGGGTCTTTCGATTTGACTGAAAATCGGAAAATCGAAAATCCCGTTAAAATGTTTATTGGTCGTTAACTCGTTAACAGTGCAAAACGCCACCCCAAAGAGGTACATTTTCGGAATCAGCGCATTGAGGAGGCCCTGTATACCGGTTTTCAACCAAACCGAAAGACCTCGCCGTTTCCTGCTAAAATGTTAATTGGTCCGGGTCGTTAACTCGTTAACGGTGCAAAATACCACCCCAAAGAGGTACATTTTCGGAATCAGCGCATCAAGCAGGCCCTGTACACCGATTTTAAGCCAAATCGAAAGACCCCAAAAATTTGCTGCTGAAATCGATATATGCTGCTGAAATGTTAACGGATCGCTAACTCGTTAACGGAGCAAAATACCACCCCAAAACGATACCTTTTCGGAATCAGCGCATGGTGGAAGCCCTGTATACCAATTTTCAGCCAAATCGAAAGACCCCGCCGTATCCCGCTAAAATGTTAATTGGTCGTTAACTCGTTAACGGTGCAAAATACCACCCCAAAGAGGTACATTTTCGGAATCAGCGCATCAAGCAGGCCCTGTACACCGATTTTCAGCCAAATCGAAAGACCCAAAAAATTTGCTGCTGAAATCGATATATGCTGCTGAAATTTTAACGGATCGTTAACCCGTTAACGATGCAAAATACCACCCCATAGCGGTACCTTTTCGGGATCAGCGCATTGGTGAAGCCCTGTATACCGATTTTCAGCCAAATCGAAAGACCCCGCCGTTTCCCGTTAAAATGTTAATTGGTCGTTAACTCGTTAACGGTGCAAAATACCACCCCAAAGAAGTACATTTTCGGAATCAGTGCATCAAGGAGGCCCTGTATACTGATTTTCAGCCAAATCGAAAGACCCCGCCGTTTCCCGTTAAGATGTTAATTGGCCGTTAACTCGTTAGCGGTGCAAAATACCACCTTAAAGAGGTACATTTTCGGAATCAGCGCATCGAGGAGGCCCGCATCCTTGCCCGCATCGAGGTTTCCCATGGATTTCCGTAAAGCAGCATTCGCCTCAAGGCTATAGAACTCCCTCAGCATTCGCCATTCTGAGTTATCTGTAAGAATCTTGATTCTGAGTAATCTGCGTGGGGAATTTTGCTTCATACTTTGATCCAGCTTTGATCCAAGGCCCTTTGATCGTCTCAGTTGCAGTCTTCGGCTCAGTCCGCGTGCTGGAAAGGACGGGAGCTTAGAACATCTGGGACTTGGGAGCGGCCTCCTCAGTCCTCAAAGCCTTCAGCGCATACTTCAGCGGACCTGCAGGCTATACGAATACGGGCCGGGGACATTTATACAGGTGGAGTGGCCAATACTTCGGAACGACGAATGATGGTTCGGGGTTCGGACCAAGGCAGTATATTCGGACCGTTCGGACTGCCTTCAGCCTTGGTTCGGACACTTCGTGACCGGGGTGACTTTCGGCTGGGGGTTTGCTTTGAGTGAGTGGTCGGAATAATGTCTTGATTGTCTTGCCTTATAGCTTCCGACGTTCGCCATCATGAGTCGATGGGCTGTGGCTTTTCTCATAGTGCTCATGAATTCATTGCAATCGCTACTGTTGTGCCTATAATTAGCTCATCTCATGATTTATGCGCTGCATATTGCATGGATACCTAAATGTCAAAGATTTGTAAAGATTTGTCAAAGTTTTTTTACCAGGCAACATCGTTTAAGTAGGTATTTATTTATGTTTGTGTTTGCACTTCCCTTCATTATTTGCAGAGGCATGTTGAATCAGGCGTTTAGACTCCTTTGCAATCAATCGCAATCCACACTGACACAGCTCATGTGTCAGTTGCAATTTGCACAATACAGAGTTCCACCATGACATGGCCGCACATTCTTCTCAGCTACAGGACTGAGAAGTAGCCTTGAGTTTGGTATATGCATTGCAAACTTAACACCCCCACGATGCACGCGTATTTTTCATTAATTTTTTTTTTCTGGCTTCGCACCTAAGCGTCCAGGAGCCAAGACCGTTGGCCTAGGCGCTTGAGAAAGGACATTAAAGCTCCTTGCGTTGATCTGACGAGCCTCGTGACGCCAGGAGGCTCTCGTTTGACCTCGACCTTGTTTGTGACCCTGCGCCAGCGCCGCAGCAGGAGCGCGATGGTGGCGGCTCATCATCCGGGTCTGTAAGGTGCACGGAGCTGTCGACGCCAGGCGGACCTGCTCGCGACAGCACGACCCGCAGCAGGTACCTGCGGCCGCGGGACAGGGGCGTCTAAGGTCTGGAAGGGTTGAAGGGAAGTCTTCCACTACTATCACACGGTAAATAGGATTACAAGTCACAGTGATGCGATGAGTTAGCCGTTCGTCATCGTTCTCACCCGATGGCTTCATTCACCATGAAGTTGTACTTGGCCGAGACCTCGATCCAGGTGAGGAAATCGGCCTGTTTGACCACGTCCTCCACCTCCCACTGGGTGACGTCACGGCCTCCAGTGACGTCACACTGGAAGCAACAGCCGTGAATGTTATATGATGAAGACTGTCGTTAGCATGATAATCACATGAACAATGCGCAATAGGTACTCATGAGCAAGCATCAGCATATGAGCACCCACCACAGGTTGAAAGGGACACGCTTCAGTCACCTTGTTAGCGAGCAAGAGGCTCGGGAAACGTTGCTCGTCCGGCAGGCTGCACAGACGGTCGATGTGACGCTTCCAGCGGAGAGCGCCGCGCAGCGAGCGTCGCTGCCCCAGGTCAAACACCACCACACAGCCGTGAGCATCCTTGTAAAACGCATCCGCCAGCCCCTGGAACGATCTCTCGGCTAAAGGGAGCCGGGGCCCGGGAGTTTGGGAAAATGGTCAGCCGCATGTAACATGAGTCGCCCAGTCTCGCTGAGTTGCTACTTGCTACCAGAACGGTGTCCCGACAGTTAGTCATGCGACTTGGTAGCTTCGATGCTATTGTGCCCGTTTTTCATGCAGCCGATAATATCACCCTTCATTGCCAGCTACATTTTCGGGACGCCTATTCGCTAGTTTTCGTCTGCTAACGTCTAAAGTACAGGCTCCACGGCACACTTTTTCGGTTTTTCGTTTCGTTTTTTCGCTTTTTCGGCTTCAGTAGACGATCAGCTTCACTTGATAACATTGGTGTAGCTCCACGGCAGCGAAACCGAAAAAACGAAATCAGCAACTCGAAAAAGCGACGCGAAAAATCGAAAAAACGACTCTAAAAAGCGAAAAAGCGACTCTAAAAAACGAAAAAGCGAAAAAACGAAGCGACTCGTCCAACCCAATAGTTTGGATCGACAATCAGCTTTTCCAAGTAATTTTGAGGTTTTCGGCTTCAGCACGTGACGATGTGGTAATACTGATGCATGTTTCCGACGATTCACATTTCGGTACTCCTAATGGAAAGGAAGGAATGTAATCGCTCAATAGTATTTCAGTGTAGGTATACACATATTATCCACGTAAGGATTGAATAGCGGTTAATTATGCGAGATATATGCACGTATTTATTTCATCTTTTGTAAAACCTGTTCATCATGCTTCTAGCCGCACCCTGCTGAGGGAGCGGTGTTTGAACACCACCTGCAGTTTATCGCTAATATCTCAAAAAGGTGACGTTTCGCGCCACTGTTTTTGGCACACCTTATCAAGCACCTTTTTTACACATGTTATGAAAATTTCAGGACTAAGGTCTCTCAAGGTCAGGTCACCAGGTTAGGTAACCTGGTGAGGTGGTCAGAGTGACCAACTCAGAAAATGTTCCAATGCTTATCATTGCTACACCAGGTAACGGATGGCTTTGGAGCTTTCAGCAATTCAAGAGAGTAGCAGTATGCACAAAATGTATATCACATAATTTCGATATCGGTAACCCAAGGCCACGTCAATTTTGCGACCCCCCCCCCCCATTGCCTAGAAACTGAAAACTGAAAGGCGTTTTTAACGAGCGTCATTCTAAACACTCTCAGGTTACAAGTACACAGAAGCGTATAGGAACCATGGGTGCAGTGGATACGCTGCACCCACAATAATAATCGAATAGGTGACGACAGTGCATTCTGCACCCATAATAATCTGAAGCAAAAACCCCTTTTCGCATCAACGCTACTTCACATGCAGTATGAGTTCAGGATATTTTCCCTTTTACCCATCTTTCGAGTCATTTGCTTCTTTGTCTTCATAACATTGAAAAAAACGGAACGCATGTGATAGAACACATACACATGACCCACTCTAGAAAGTTTTAGCTCGGTATCTTGAAAACAGGCCCGAATAGGCCCCTTGTACTGGGTGAATTATTGACATCAAAACTTCAAAATGCAATGCTCCGATACCCTTTCGACGTCGTACAGTACACCCCTCGAAGATCGAAATGAGCCCCCCGCATGAAACCGTTTTCTAATATCGGTGGCGATATACATTCCAAAATAGAAAGAGAGAACAAGATACCCGGTGCCGCTCCCTAACCCCGCCCCCCCCCCCCCCTGCTCCACGGGCGATGGTTGGATTTCTGCACCCAGAATGTTCCAGCTGTTCCCGCCTATGCAAGTAGGTACACATGACACAATGAACCGGAATATGGCACCCGTGACCCCTTGTTATGCCATGAGGTCATATCAGGTCGCGAAAGGTATGTACAATTTTCGGTAATAAATTTCGATAAAGGCATGCTACTATATAGAGCGATGAAAACACATTCGATGTGTTCCACTGGACGATACACTGAGAAAACAGTTTCTCCATTTTCGGTCCCAGAGACCAGTTTTCGGGCTAATGTCCCCTATTCAAAACAGACCACACATTTTGAGAATACTTTCTGAGCAACGCCATTGATTGCAGAAACAGATCTCAGGCAGTACCTATTATCGGTGTCAAGCTTTTAAAATCAGTCTCACTATGAAACCAGTTTTCAGCCCGATCCCCAATTTCAGTCTCACTTGAATCACAGTATTCTGGCTCAAAGTACATGAGCCCTAAAAGGAAGCCTTACTGAAACCGTTTTTTAAATCAGACACATTTGAGGCTTGTTTCAGCACTCAATTGAGTCTTTATTCAAAAATGTTCTTAAAGTGTTTTCTGAGTGTACAAATCGACTGATATGCATCACGATCTTTCCGGCCAGGTCATGACCTAGACCATTCCAGTTAGCTTAAAGTTCATTCGATGCGTCTCGACCGGAGAAACACGTTTCTGGTGAAGGAAAGCTCGTGCAAGTTTAGAGTCAAAAGTTATTGCGGAAAAACTGTTTTTGCAGAATCGTATTTTTTGAACGTTTATGCCCCTGCAGGATAAACGGTGGACCTTATGTCAAATCTGAGGACATGCTAGCGAAAGAACGTTAAAAGAACGTTTGATTGCGCCCCTCCGCGGCGCTATAGCTCTATCCATTCCTGAGCTATGGACCGATTTGTCGAAAATTGTCGAAGTTTGACCTATAGATATTGGCGACGTTTTACCTTCGATGACCTTTGGTGACCTGCCCTTTGGCCTACACCTGACCTAAAAATGTCCGAAGCAGTTTGTTCCTTATTTTTTAGCTCTTTCAAGTGTCACCTACGGCGTGTCGCTACCTGGTTCAGGAGCCAAGTTAGAAGGGGTGTTCCCCCTACCAGCAGGGCGTGGAAATCCAGGAGTCCCAGCGGGGCGCCGGTTAGTAGCCGAGCTGCTGGAAGTTTAGTCAAGCCAACTTCCTACTACAAAACAGACGAGATCTAGTTTAAGTAATTTCCATCTGTTAAAATAGACAACAAAACAGACCCCTAAAGCCCCAAAGGCAAATCTGCGACCAAAGCGTTGCACTGGTTGCAAACAAAATAAAAAGAGCTGGCGGTTGCACAGCGCGTTACAACTAAACAAAAATCAACGAAACTCGAAAAACTCAAGCCACGAAGCGATAAATCGAAAAAGCGAAAAAGCGACGCGAAAAAGCGATAAATCGAACCGAAAAAGCGAAAAACCGAAAAATCAAAAACCGAAAAAGTTTCCCGTGTAGCTTGACCTTAATTCGTTAGTTTAAAACGTTAGCAGTTAGTTTTAATTGACGATGTGCACTATCACACTTGCACCTTTGAACGAATCTCTCCTCACCCCACCTAACCATTTTCGCTCACCGCTAAGCTCTGTGATCTGGACGTTGAAGACGCCTTCCTCCAGCTGCACCCCGGTCTTGGTCGATGTTCGCACTCCGACCGTGGCCTCGCGGTCCGGCTGGTATTTGTCAGCAACGTACCGGGTCACGATAGCAGACTTTCCCACGCCCGCGTCCCCCAGCACGAGCAGTTTGTACGGGGCGCTGCTCAGTCCTCTCGGACGGGGATATTCACCTGCAGAACCACAGTGCGGCCGGCACGTTACTGGTGCAATGCAGCATCCTCCCTCCCTTTGAAGAACAATGGATGCAATTAGTGGTTACCGTTACTGGTTGGTACTGTTTCTTAGGATGGCTGAATGGGAATCTGGTGCAAAAATGTCTGATTCTTCGAAACACGGAAATATGTTAAATTCCCCGATGATCTGCGTTTGAGCGGTTGCTTAGCTCATCACGCTCCTCCCATTTCTCCGACACCGTTTTTATAGCTTTCCGAGTCACGATCAGGCCCTATTCTTACCTGAACCATTCCAGGGTGCCGTGGTCTCCTTGGGCGTGGTGGGCGTGGCGGGCTCCAGCGACCCGGAGAGCTCCTCTCTCCAGCCGGCGCTGAGGTGGCGCTCCTGGGGACTAGCCGTAGCACGTTCGCCGGCACCATCGCGGGCCACGGACGGCAAAAACACCAGTCGCAGCCGTGTCCGCTCTCCCATCCTGGAGCAAGCGACTTCTGGAAGACACCGTCTGGCTTTCTCCGGTGCTGATTGACCCGCTTGAGCTGTGCTCCGACGCCGGTCCCTGACCCGTGCGCTGTCCGCTGGTGCGGAGCTGATCTGTTGTGACAGCCCGGCGCGTCGGTCGGCCACCTATGGCTTCTTCGGTGACCGGCGCCTGGGGTGTGCGGTTCGGTTGCGGTCGCCCGCTGCCTCAGCTGCAGGTATGGTTATCAAACATGCCCCTCCCCAACTCCAGGCTGCTCACTATTGTGCGCGGATGATTTGCAGCCGGCTATACAGCAACAAACAGTTTATTCACTTCTTGTGTGTGTGTGTCTGTGCGCATGTCAACCCAGGGGATTAGGGTTGTCAACCCTATAGTTCGGTCGGGTAGGTTCCTTGCTTTTACAATCAAACGATCAGTGTGTTCGATTACTGGACAATGTACGTGGCCTTGTATGGAATAAGAACTCCGGCTGTCTTCGTCCAAGTGGAATTGTTTTTTTTTAGAGGTAAAAATGTTAAAATGGCTAACATGAATGATCCAAAATATAATGTGTAAAAAATATTGTGTAAAATTATGCAGTGTTCAGTAAATATATCGATGAATGCATGTTTTTTTTGCGTTGTAATAGTTATTTGGAAGCGATTGGCAACATCCAGATGGAGACGTCGGGCATTCGAATTGACTTCGTCGCCAAAAGTGGACCTTTTCGTTAATAATGTCTGCAAATTAACGGCAAAAATAAGTAATCCTTGGAATGGCGCTGAATGCTGCGTACTTGGCGCACCACCGGTTCTGAAATTTCTGTTCAAAAGCTGAATCAGTGGTATCTCCTGCCCAATTGCCAGGCAATTGAGAACTTTTATTGACTTTTCAAAGACGTTACCAGGCAACTTGCTCTTCTCAGCGTTCGTTTGTCACATGCTGAACAGTAGGACTCTAAACGTTCTATACCTTCGTCGTGTGTGTACGCGTGGTGGAGGCTGGATGCTGAAGAGTTTTTATTAATTACGCCTGATAAGGACATAACAAAATGGCTGTAAGTATCATAAACTTTTTCTCTGTTCTATGATGTATTTGAAATTAAGATGTTTGGATCTTTAATTTAAGCATTGAACCTGTATGTTAATGTTTGAAGTTTGATGTGGACTCTCCGGCCTGCGTCTGTGGCATATAATTTTCATTGACTTATGATAAGGTGTGCACTCGGCAACCGGAAAACGTTACCCTCTGGATATTTATCTTTCAGAAAATCATTCATGACAACCTTCGTTTGGTATGCCTGGTTTAGAGGTGAATCATCCACGTGACATTATCCCTCACTTCAGCGTGAGGCATCACGGATGTCATCCCTGGACAGTCACAGTAATTTGACTTACTTTTGATTTTCAAGCTTGCAAACACTAAGTTATTTATGACATTACACCACACACGATATGTCATCACATCTCATAGTTTATCTAAAAAATCAAAAGTAAAAGCCATTTAATCACCACTATCAAACATACCTCCCACCCCTAATGCGGAAAACATCCAGCCACCCCAGGTCCGCAGATTCTCCCCAGCATGTAATAATTATCGGGGATAATTTTATGCACGCTACCTACATGTTTTTTGTCTGGTTCTATTGGTAATATTTTCATTTACTTTGTAGCTTATTATGCAATACATTATGATTGAATCATCTGAAAAAGTAAATGCAGCAATGGTCTTTTCATACCTAGTGATATTCTAGATTCAACATTGGTTTGTAGGTAATAAGTGATTGAATGGCAAACAATTGACTGCTTGGTACCTAACATTTGTATAACAGTTCTTAGAGTGCATAACTTTAAAAAAGGTAATTGTTGCATCAACTTTCTCAATCCGACCAATTTCACTAGCACATCAATTCATCTGGTAACTTCCTTGTATGAGTCACCTGCCTCCTGAATGCTCAAGCTTTTTCATAAGCTGTCTGATCCTTAGAATGTTATTTTTCTAAACTAAACTATTCTGTACTTTTCTGATTTATACCTATAGACATTGATTTAAATATTGTTCCATTTCAGGCCCCTATGCCCATCAACCCCAAGCCTTTTTTGAACAACCTTACTGGCAAGTCTGTGTTGGTGAAGCTGAAGTGGGGACAGGAGTACAAGGGATTCTTGGTGTCAGTGGATGGTTACATGAACCTGCAGGTCAGTGTCACTTCAAGCAACACTTTAAATGTAATTAACCAATAGAAAGTTTTTTTTTTAATATTAAGTTATTACAATTCTTATTTTGTAAATCCTTATGGTTCAGTATGCTTTTTTATGTAGCTCTTATCAGCAAAACTTTGGTACCTAACATAAAAGTATTTAATAGCTGTTAAAGATTCATGCCTACTTTTGTAGTGCCCTGTATAATCATTAATCAGGTCATGTACAATATCATGGTGCTAGCACCCTCTTGTATTACTCTTGTATTTTGCTTTCTATGGTCACTTCACTATATCCAGCATGGTACCATGTTATCTTTTCAATAGATTGTAATCACCCCATTTATCTGAGAAACATCAGCATCATGAACATCATATGACATCAGCTTGCAAAATACACCTTTCTGCTAACAGTATTATGCACACTAGGTATGTTTACTGACCATTTTATGTTCTTTTTTTAGCTGGCCAACACCGAGGAGTTCATTGATGGCAACTGCACGGGCAGCCTGGGTGAGGTTCTGATCCGCTGTAACAACGTACTATACGTCAAAGGCGGCGAGGACGACGACGAAGATGGCGAGATGCGAGAGTGATCTCACGGGACCATTATTTGTCCACACATACATTCTCACATTGTGTCATCATACTCTGTCCCACTCTTCATGTGAATACAGTATAACATTGTAATGAAGTCTGATAGATGTAACGTTTCAGATTTTTTTCAACTTGTTGATTGACGGGTCTTGTATAGTTGACATTACGGTTATTAGTTGAGCCGCGATTAAAAGCGAGGTCAGGGGCTGAATCACTATGGCTCTGGACTTGTCTACAAATCTGATCGGCCATTGCGGTTCAACTGCCTTAACGCAACTTTAAGATTGATTATGCGATCGAAGAATGGTTTGGATACTCTCACAGTCTTCGGGAGCATTTCTTACACAAGCCATAGCGATATTTTACAAACATGTATTTCGCACGATTTCACGCACGCTCGCAAAAAGCTCACGCAGTGTACCATTAGCAACACACACTACAGCTAGTGCCGGTCGCTCGGCGTCCTCTAAACATGGAATGTTGTGTATGGACGGATGCACGCAATGCACTTAACACTTTGTATCAAAGTACGGGTACAGTGGGATAAAGAGTTCAAAATATTTGTCGGCTGATTATCACATTTGCGTTATGAATCGCTTACTAGTCCCGAAACTGCAGTTGGAAATACCAATAGTAGTTCAATAGGCGTTTACTGTAAACGCTCGCATAAGAACAATCGCTTTTTTGTCAGAGCTGAAAGCCATTTTTACTTTATCCCGCTTGACAATACAGCAATACACTTATCCTTATCAACTACACTAAACTATGCGTTTCATGTGCAACTCTCGGACGGAACGTTCAGCAAAATGCTCGGAATGGAAGCCTGTACACTCCTGATCGGACCATGAAACCATTCGTCCATGCCACTGGGACGGGCAGTATAGCATCAAAGATTCATCGTCCAAAGCTACAGAGTAATAGCTGGCCACAGTCTCTCGTGTTAAAGGGACACTCCCACCTTAACATTAGTTTTGAGTTGAGATAGCCAAATTGGTGGCCATGGCCTGCAAATACCGGTTTGGGCACTCACAACATCGACAAATGCTTTAATTCGGAGATATGGAATTTCAAACTTGCAGTTTTGGGATTCTAAGGGGCTAGTGCATTGGTATGCCCCCTTAGAATTTGTGACGTCAGCGGAGATCTAACGATTTTTAAATCTTTTACTAAAACGTTTGGTAGCACGCGGTGGTATATGCTGCTTTGCGCGCAACAAATGCCGCACTTTCAAATAAAGTCGCTAGGAACAGCGGAGATCCCAAAAAGTAAACAAAAGTAAAAGTCTAATATCTTGAAAACCGGTGAATATTTTTCGATGAAATTTGGTAGATATTCGTTTTCGCTCTTTCTGAACCGAGCGACATCACTTTCGTGCCAATTCATTAACTTTTTTGAAGGTGGGAGGGTCCCTTTAAGTGGTCAGATCTTCAAACGGTACACAGATCGAAGGAGATTCTCATTTTCAATGCGGCGCACGTTGGCTATGTCGGCTCAGCTTACAAGTGTGGCCTCCACTTCGAAGTTCACTCTGTGCTCACCAATGCGCGTTACACTCGCTGGCCCACTCCCCCGCCTCAGACGGCGGCCTCCACAGAGCCGGTGGCGTACTGGGGAGTCGGCTCGATAATGTCCAGGTCGCCGGCCGGGTAGCGGGTGTCGATGATGCGCCGCGGCTCGTCATCATACTGACCCAGCATCTCGCGCGAGCCGTACGTGACGGGCACCAGGCCGCCGGCGTCCAGCGGCTGCTTTGACTGGGTCGGCTGCTGCAGCGACGTGTCCAGCACCTCCATCTGGTACTGGTAGCGCGACGGGCGCCGCTCCCACTCCTGGGGCAGCGTCGTCACGCGCGAGCCGAAACACTTGTGACCGAACTTGAGGATGAGGATGATGACCACGACGACGAACAGGGTCAGACAGGCCAGCGGCGGCCACGCGGGGAACACCATGACTGAGGCTCGGCAGCGGTAGCCTCTGTGTCCGTTGATAGTACGCTACTTTGAGCTCGTTCACAAGCTTGGGTTACAACTGCGGCACCGAGCGTTCCTCCTAACACTACACCGACACTGCTTTCCAAAGTTATCTCACTCGCAGTCCTCTCTGAACGTCTGTGTTAGTCTCTGACCACACCACTCGGCGAGCAGCTCAGTAGTCCAGCGGCTGGGCGTGCTTCGGCGACATTATAAATAACGGCAATGCCCAGCGGTTCCCGGTTCTCGGATCGCGAATGTACTCCTTGTACCTGGCGGAACACACAGACAAGCGTGTCAGCATAAACAAGCAAATATAAAACAAGACGACTCGGGGAATTTAAACAATGAAACAATTAAGACAATGAAAATATGTCAGGACTAACACAAATTACGCGACATAGGTATTCCTGTCATTCGCTTGTCAAGTGTGTTCCATACCACCTCCCCTCTTGATTGACCCCATGCGTCCCTTGTCCCTCTCACTCCCCTGTTCCCTTCCTTTCACCCAGACCCGGCCGCGCGGCCTACCTGGGGCAGCAGCAGCAGCAGACGAAGTTTGTGAAGGCGAGCAGCAGCAGCAGCGACAGGCTGATGCCCAGGCCGATGTAGAAGCCGCTGAAGTCGTCCCAGGCCGGCGGCGAGTAGGCGGGGTGGCCCGGCGGGTAGATGGTGATGTTGTTCGTCTGGACGCTCATCCTGACATCACGTCAGACGGCCGGCCAGATCTCCACCGGCCACCTGCCCGACAGATATCGCAATGTGGGTAATCGTCTGGGTCATATCACTGGGGCCTGTGTAGTGTGAGCTGTCTCGTTACAAACGATTGACTTTCGCGCAACAGCGAGGTTTAATACCACTGCAGTATGATAATCGTTTTAATATTCATCAGAATTTTAAGTTTTAGTTGCATTTGATGCCAGAGGCCAGAGAGCTTATGTAATTGCCCCGAATAGTGAAGAGTGTATTTAAACACATAGAAGTCGTATTTACACATTTATAAACACATTTGGGCGAATGTAGGAGCGTGAAGTAGGTAGATTTTACATCCTTCTGGCCCTCTCCACCCCCTCCCATACACACAACGCTGAACGCTGACATCCCAGTAGTTGATTTTATGTAGGTGTATCATTATGCATTTTTAAAAGCCGACTTATTTGTTAGAATCGTAGGAACATCGCCAACTTTGATATACTCACGAGCGTGAAATTTGAGTTCGCATAGCATTTGTAAGCAGTGAGCATTTGAATCTGAACGAGACGTATTTGAATGAATGCTCAGGGCAACGCCCTTTCCTTGCAAACGATTGCCCGCCTGTTCTGCCTATGTGTGCGGCTCAAGGTCCAACACTTGTCGATTCCCAACAGTCCACCACAATAAGATATCATTACTTAGTCAATTATATCTCTTACCGTTCTTACAGGAGCAGCAGCGACCCGGTAGTCGTTCGTGGCGCACAATGGCTCCTCACTCCCCACCGTGCCGCCGCCCGCCGTCGCACGCGCGCTCACCTGAGGCCAGTCGCGGCGGACGTGTGACGTCACGCCGGGCAGGTATGGCGGACGGCCGTACACTGGTTGCGCCTCGCCCGACCGACAGGTGACCGCCGTACACTGGGTGCGCCTTGTGCGGCCGGCAGGTGAGCGCCGTACACCGGATGCGCCGTCTCCGACCGGTAGGGGAGCGCTCGGAGACACCGAGAGGGGACATAAACGAACGCACGTCTGCACTTAATTATCTGCACTATATGCAATTGTGCAGGAAAGTGGCGACTGACGGCAGCGAGAACAATGGTGTTGCCAGTTGCCACCACCCATACCAGTGCTTCCTGTCAGTTGCTTTGTTATCCGAAAGTCAATAAGGAAAAGTGGAAGATTGTTCTCGCGAACGCTCAAGTGCAAGGTAAACGCTCAACACAAAACCTTGGACCCGAGAGTGAATTACCTTGCGATAGCGACAATGTCTCATTTCGTTTTCCATGGCACGGTCAGGCGTCTGTGGGTGCAATACGCCCATAGCCCCAGGATCAAACTTTCAAGAATGTTAATGAACCTGAGGAGGAACATCGTCCTCCACACGAGTCACATACCGGTGACGAAAGAAGGTCCCAAAAATTAAAATGCGCACATCTATTATGCACATTCCACAGCATGCGCACAAGCACGTGTAAACTTTTCGAACCAAACAAATTATAAGCAGGCATATCGTCTCGCAGCTACCAACAGCACGTCTATTTTGCGATTAAGATGCAGCACAACTCTGGATTAACTACTATCAAGTAGGTATATTTATCGTTTTTCTATATCAAATACATGATTGAGGCGTACTATTGCATCTGAACTGGCTTCATCTACAGCACAAACAAACGATATGATAGATTCAGTCCGCGCCACAAGTCGATACACCACCAGCCACCACGGCTCGTCACACTCACAACCGGCAACGAAAACCTGAACAGACAAACAAGCGTCGTACCACGAGCACATACGACAACTAAATAATGTAGGTAACTGAGTGAACGCTGACACGTTATTATGCTACAGCAGGCAAAAGAAACAAGTTACAGCAGGCAAAAGAAACAGTGAAACCAAACTGGCGCAAGGGAATCAACGGCACCGGCTTTTGCCCGCCCGTTGTCAAGGCAACTGGCCAACGGGCTGGCTACAGAACAGGCTCCTCGCCGATCTGATGCTTCCTCCATCCGTGCCGTTTCAGATGTTTCTTTTCCTTGAAGGTGGCGCCGCACGCCTCGCAGATAAACTTACGCTCATTGGAATGTACTGTTTGCTCGTGGACTCGCTTGGAGCTTGACGCAGCGAATCCCTTTTGGCAAAACTGGCAGCGAAAGGGGCGTGCACCGCTGTGGCCCCGTTTGTGTACCTTCAGGTGGCTCTGGTACATGAACATCTTACCGCACTCGTCACACTGGAACGGCCGCTCTCCGGTGTGAATGCGCGCGTGCACCACCAGGTTGCCCTGGATGCTGAACCGCTTGCCACACTCGTCGCACTGATAGGGTTTCTCTCCGGTGTGCGTGCGGTAGTGCATCTCCAGACTGGCGTACGAGAGCATCGCCTTGCTGCAGACGGGACAGACGTGGTCTCGGCGGCGGCCGCGCGCGTCCAGCTGCGGGGGAGGTGCGTGGCGGCCGCGCGGGGGCGGCACCGGCAGCGCCGGCCGGCTCTCCAGCACCGCCTCCACCTCCACCTCCGCAGCGGCCGACGACATGGTCGGCGACGGGGCGCTGCCCTCCGTCGGCGGCCCGCCGTCCGCGCGCAGCTTGCACTGGTGCATGCCGAGCCGCCACGTGTTGACGAAGGTGATGCAGCACGTGTCACAGCGGTACGGCCGCTCCTTGAAGTGGCCGGCCTCGTGTTTGCGCATGTTGCCGCTGTCGTTGCAGGTTTTGTCGCAGAAGCGGCACAGGTACGGTCGGACGCCGGCGTGCAGCCGCCGGTGGCGCTGCCAGCCGGAGACGGAGCGCAGCTGGCGGCCGCACACGTCACAGTCCACAGGCACCACCGGCGCCTGGCCAGAGTTGGCGTTCGGCTCGCGCTTCGGTGACGGCTCGCGGGGCGGCCGCGCCGCCGCCAGCTCTGCGGCGGCAGCCAGTGCCGGCAGGCCCGACCCGCTCAGCTCCATCGGAATATTTTCACTGTCCAGTATCATCGTCTCCTTGGACTCAGCAGGAATCTCAGTACTCGTGCTCTGCCCGGCCTCAGTCATGTCCATACTATCGCCAGCCTCGTCCGAGTTCTCCTGGGACCGCGCCAATTTACAGCGGTGCGCGCGCTGTCGAATCGCCGTCCAGAAGGTGATGGTGCACGTGTCACAGCGGAACGGCCGTTCCTTGAAGTGCAGCTGCTCGTGCTTGCGCAGATTGCCGAGGTCGTTGCAGCGTTTCGGGCAGTAGGTGCAGATGTGCGGCCGCTCGCCGGAGTGCATCCTCTGGTGGACGGCCAGTTTGGTGGCGCTGGAGAGCACCTTCCCGCACAGGCCGCACTTGAGTGACGTCACCCCGGACGTGGAGGGGCCACGGCTCGGGCGGGTGCGCCGCGCTCCCTCCGCCATGTCCTCCTCGTCCATCACCGGGTATTCCTCGGGAGAGTCCTCATCCTCCGTCGCCGCCGTCGTGACGAACCGGGTCCGCCGGCGGCGGCGCCGGCCGACGGTGACCTCGGCCGGCGGCGGCGGACTGGCCCGGGGCTCCGGCGGCGGTCCGTGCTGCCGACCGTGGTGGGAGCGCAGCCGACCGGCCGAGGTGAACGCCTCCGAGCACACGGCGCAGGCGAACACCAGTCGCTCGCCCGAGACCAGCACGGTGCCGATGGCCAGCAGCTCCGACTCGGATCCGTCCGGCGGCGGGACGGTGACGGCGCCCTCTCCGCCGCTCCGAGCCGCGTCCGCTGAAACGAGCACAAAGGGCTGATCAGACGGGAACTCAACGACATCCGGTGAATGACCATAAGAACCGCTTTGCAATATTAAATGGTACCTAAACACAATGAATCAGCGTACGAGAACAAATTAACGACTGGTAGTCAAAAACGAAAAAAGTAAATGGACAATGTGTAAACTTGAAGTCAAATACAAGAAATGAAGTTCGTTGATCACAGCAATCAAAACGGGCACCCAAAAACGGAAAAATAAACAAAAACAACACATTGGTGTTAAGGATTCTGCAGCATATTTCAAAGCTAAGAACAAAGAGAACATAAACGAAAAACACCACAACAGTGTACCTTAGAGTGAGTCGATTTCAACGGGTTGTCACGCTGGTTTCATCAATTGAATAATGTGGGTTGTGTTCAGCGGCCACACCCACTAAAGAAACGCTGTCTCCTTACCACTGTCGGCTGAAGGTGCAGCGCCGTTCCCCTCTGCGGATGGCGTGTCCGTGCCGGGTGCGGCTGCGGAGCTGAGGCTGCACGCTGCCGGGTCACAGGTGACAGTCAGGCCCTCCGACCCCTCGCTACTCTCTGCCACCGACTGCCCGGTCCCTCTCAGGCCTTCCGAGCCCTCCGTCGTCTCTGCCACGGTTTGTCCGGTCCCTCCCGGAGCGGCTGTGGCGCTTACTGTCGCCGATGGATCGGACGGGGGTCCGACCGCGGATGGGGAGCGCTCTTTGACCGGATCGGATGCTGCCGCGCGTCCACAGGTACCGTCAGCGCTAGTCAGCCCGGGTCCCGCGCAGGACGGAGCGGCATCCGACTGCTCCCTGGCAGCTGACACTGCAGCTGAAGCTGCCAAAGGTGCCGAATTAGCCTCAGGGGCCGTTGGCTGCTGTTCAGCATCCACATGCTGTGTCAGTGTGGCCACCGTAGTCAGGGAGGGACCAGCCTCAGTCGGCGGACCGCCATCTTCCGCCATCTTCAGTTTAGCAGGAACCCAAGCTGTTTGTGCCACAACATCAGAGACAGCTACCCCCTTCACTGATGACTTGTTGCCATGCTCAGTTGTCACTGCTAAAGCTAAAGTCCCTGAGTGATTAGAACCTTCCACCAGCCCTTCTACAATTGCTACATCAGAGCCATTATTGCGCATCTTGACTTGTTGCTGCACTCCCACAGGATGAAACTCAGCACACAGTCCATTTTCCAACACTTCTGAGGCAGTGATACTGGTAGCATCCATGCATTCTTGACCATCCACCATCTTCAGTGTAGGTGGGTCTGGACCTTCTACTCCCAGTGCACATGTTGTTACAGATGAGACAGTTGAGTCTCCTGGTGAAAATGGTGCTGGATCACCACTTGACATGGCAGTTTTCACACTGAAATAAAATAAAAGGGGAGGACTTTCAACACGAAGTTGCTACAGCCTACAATCGATAAGTTACTCCTCTTTCCATAAGTCACACTTCAACCAACAGCATCAATACACATTGATGCTGTTGGCATCAATACACATCAATCACATTGCATCAAGATGGTTTACTGACTCTTAGGTGATACAAAAATAGCCTAGACTTAGTGTTAAAACTCAAAAACGTCATTTTTTGGACAGGAAATCCACCCTTTTTACTAGTGCTAGGTAACTGAATTTTTATTTTTTGGTAGAAAGGTATCCTCAGCACAGCTCACTAGCACTAGCCAGACCTCACTGCTGGCATATCCCAGTCCTCTAACTGAGCATCTGATCTGAATAAGATTACATTAGGATCTGCCTGCACAGCACAGCTGCCTAGCACCAGTATCCTAAGATTTTTTGGAGTGATTTACTAACATAGCAGTAGGAAATTAAAAGGAGTGATTTACTGAGTTTACACAAGGAAGGCAGTGACACTGTTTTGGATGACCTGCTTTCTAGTAACTACCATTGGTAAATAACTGGGGCTCTTTTTACTATTTTAGATAAGCAACAAATTCTGGAATCTGGCAGTGCCTTAAAAGTAAAATACCAAGCTCATTATGTTATTTCAGAATTCAGCCTTTCTAATTATTCAAAAATATATTTGTGTCCTCTTATGAATCAACTTGTTACCAGATTTATGTGCAATAATCCAACACATTTGCTTAGTAGGTATACTCCCTTGACCGCTGCTGTGACAAAATGATGGGTCCTTTTTTGCCACTCTGTAATATCCTCAAAATGTAGGATCCTGATCTGATGATAAAATGTCCATGCCAAAAAGCTCTGACCGTAGACTGTAGTCAAGACTTCAGCAGTGAATGAGCGGCAACTCTTTGTGCAATGTCTGCATTATTGATGCCATAGTCTGTACCTATTTAATCAAAGTAGTGGAATCTGTATACTAACATTTAACACACTGCTACAAAAATAATTAAATTTCTGAGTTCAACTCTAGAGACTGAAGGCCCTCCAGCAGTGATCAGCTTCACTAAACTATCATTACATATCATTCATCAAAGTATCATATTGATATCATTACAAGTACCTCAGAGCTATGGGCTATGGCCTCTGGCACTGATCCACTTAGCTCCAGGGTTGGCTGATTTCAGCCAGGGCCTGGTTTAAACCATGGTTTAAACTGGCTGGCATAAATTAATTCATACCACACTGGTTATCAACACTTTTCCATGTAATAAGAATGTAATAAAAGCCACTTACGGCCTTTAGTTGTTAAGTGATTTAGAAAGCTGTCACAGGATGTTTACTTTTTACCATGAAGAGAGAATTTTTCATTAGTTTTCTTGAAAATTCATCAGACTAAAAACTGACTGAATGTTTTGCTTTCCAATTTGCATGGGAAAAATAAAATACACCATGACAATGCAGAATGGCCGGTAGGATGACAGTTTTACCAGTCATATTTTTTAGAACAAACTTTGCATTTAGCATAGCACTGCTCAAATCCACAAAAGATTATACATTCAAATTGAGTGAGAATCATTCAACCAAACATGTAGGGTGGAGGACTTATGTCACCAACTTGTATTATCGACAAATGTTAGGTAGTTTCTGGCAGATTGTTATTCGGAAACAAGATGGCTCTTTTTATATTAAAAAGTAACGCCATGATGCTTGGCAAGCATTTCCTAAGCTCGTAAGTTTTTTTACTACTGATGTTGGTTACTCATTTGGCTTTTATAAATTTCTACTGGTTTTAACTGGCTAAAATCAATAGAAGTCACTGACTGGCATAAATTCAAGTTCAGCCGGCTGAAACCCAACCCTGCTTAACTCACACTGTCATAGCTTCAGCCCTACCAGCCGCTTATTGTAATAATCAGGTTATGGTAATTACGTTTTATCATCTCTTTCAATTAAAATAGTTATCTAACCATAACTACCGGGCCCGAAATGAATTTTTGGCTGTTTACCTTCGGACAACTTCGGCGAGTTTTGGCGCACTAATTTTGTCGACAAGTTTGTTATCTGCCAGCAAGGTTTAGTAATTATTTCACTCAGTAACATTTTGTCAAAAATTTTACGTCATAGCATCCATTATGTCTTTTTATTTAGAGCGAAGGCGCGTACAGGGGTGGATTTTTATATTAAGTTGGGGTTGCACGTGCAACCCCAACTTTGAATTGTGCAACCCCAACATCGGTTTGTGCAACCCCAACTTTACAACTGAAATAAATCGGCGGGCGACTCGAATGGTGCCGCCCCCATAACCCTGAGCCATCCCAAAGGCCAAAACTCTGCCACCCGTTGACTTGGCACCATCTTTCAAAAGAGCCCTACCCATCATGTAGGCAATAGTCACCCCTCAACTATCTAGTGTAGTTGCCGCCTCCTCAGACCTGAAACGTAGGTGCCGCTCCCTCGAATGTAGGTGCCGCCCCCTCGAATGTAAGTGCCGCCCCTCGAATGTAGGTGCCGCCCTCTCAAATGTAAGTACCGCCCCCTCGAATGTAGGTGCCGCCCCCTCGAATGTAGGCGCCGCCCATTAAATGTAGGCGCCATCCCCTCGAATGTAGGTGCCACCCCCTTGAATGTTGGTGCCGCCCCTCAAATGTACCTAAATGCCGCCCCTCGAACGTAGGTGCCGCCCCCTCAAATGTAAGTGCCGCCCCCTCAAATGTTAGTGTCGCCCCCTCCCTCGAATGTAGATGCCGGCCCTCCTCGAATGTAAGTGCCGTCCCCTCCAATGTAGGTGCCGCCCCCTCGAATGTTGGTGTTGCCCCCTCGAATGTAGGTGCCGCCCCCTCAAATGTAAATTTCGCCCCCCCCCCCAAATGTAGGCGCTGTCTCCTCGAATGTAGGTGCCGCCCCCTCAAATGTTAGTGCCGCCCCCTCAAATGTTAGTGCCGCCCCTTCGAATGTAGATGCCGGCCCTCCTGGAATGCAGGTGCCGCCCCCTCAAATGTTAGTGCCGCCCCCTCGAATGTAGATGCCGGCCCTCCTCGAATGTTGGTGCCGCCCCCTCAAATGTACCTAAATGCCGCCCCTCGAATGTAGGTGCCGCCCCCTCGAATGTAAGTGCCGCCCCCTCAAATGTTAGTGCCGCCCCCTCGAATGCAGATGCCGGCCCTCCTCGAATGTAGGTGCCGCCCCCTCAAATGTTAGTGCCGCCCCCTCGAATGTAGGTGCCGGCCCTCCTCGAATGCAGGTGCCGCCCCCTCAAATGTAAGTGCTGCCCCCTCGAATGTAGATGCCGGCCCTCCTCGAATGTTGGTGCCGCCCCCTCAAATGTACCTAAATGCCGCCACTCGAATATAGGTGCCGCCCCCTCAAATGTCAGTGCCGCCCCCTCGAATGTAGATGACGGCCCTCCTCGAATGTAGGTGCCGCCCCCTCAAATGTTAGTGCCGCCCCCTCGAATGTAGATGCCGGCCCTCCTCGAATGTAGGTGCCGCCCCCTCAAATGTTAGTGCCGCCGCCTCGAATGTAGGTGCCGGCCCTCCTCGAATGCAGGTGCCGCCCCCTCGAATGAAGGTGCCAAGCCGCCCCCTCAAATGTTGGCCCCGGCCACTTATGCATAGGTGTCATCGGTCATCCCATAAAATGTAGGTGCCGTCCCTTCGAATGTAGATGGCACCCCCTAGGGTGTAGTCGCCGCCCCCTAAGGCATAGTTGCAGTGCAGCCCCCTCAAATGTAGGTGCCACCCCCTATGTGTAGGTGCCACCCCTTGAAATGAAGGTGCCTTTCCCTCACATGTAGATAGATGCCGCCCCCCCCCCATGCGTGGGTGCCGCCCCTCAAGTTAGGGTGCTGCCCATAAAATGTAGGTGCCGCCCCCTCTAAGTGTAGGCGCTGCCGCCTCAAGTGCAAATGCCATCGCCGCCCCCTCTAATGTAGGTACTACCCTCCTCTCAAGAGCTTGAGCTGTCACAAGGCCGTATAGAGCTGTCGGACATGCAAAAATGACCAGTTAAAAACAATTGTGATTTCGATTCCTGATGCGCCGCTCACCGCTCAGTGGGGGGTGGGGGTGGTGCCCAGTGGAGGTCGCAGGGGGCATCAGGGTCATGCCCCCCCCCCAAAGACAAATCATTGGCCATCATATAATTTGCCCCTTAAACAACCGATGGGCCCCGATGGGCGTACGGGCCCTGGCTCTTACCCGATTGTCACGAGGCTCAAGAAACCAACGCCTGGTATTATGTAACAGCCCCCATACCGGTCTTTGAGTATCCTGACTTCTGAGGGCGCTTCAGTGGCCTTCAAGGGCCCACCTTGACCGAGTGCCCACCTTGACCGATGAGGGCCCACATCGACCGATGAGGGTCCACATCGACCTCTCAGGGCCCTCCACTGGCCTTTGAGGGCCCGAAAGCGGCATCAGGAGTCCCCAACCGGCCTTTGAGGGCACCACACAGATCTCTTGATGTGGCCTCATTTCTGTCTCTGGGGTTCAGGACTGACCTTTGGGTGCCGGTCACTAACAACCCGCATCGACCTCTGAGGGCCTCAAACTGGCCTTTGAGGGCCCTGTACTGGTCTCGAGGGACGAGGGCTCCCAAACTGGTCTCTGGGGGTCCACGCCTCTAATGGCCTCATTTCTTTTTCTTTGGGCCCAGGACTGGCCTTTGGGTGTCCCCGAGGGCCCGTACTGACTTCTGAAGGCCCGATGCCGGTCTCTAAGGGTCCACATCGGCCTCTGAGGGCCCTATGCTGACCTCTGGTGTCCAACACCGACACATGCTGGTCTTTTAGGGCCCCACACTGACCTCTGAGGGCTCCACGCTGGCCTGTAAGATACCACACCGTCATGTGAGGGCTCACGTCGGCCTCTGATGGTTCCAAACTGCCCTTTGAAGGCTTTGTACTGGTCTCTGAGGGCCTCACACTGCCGGTACGGACCCACGCTGGTCTTTTGAGGGTCCAAACTGGTCTCTGACGGCCCAAACTGGCCTCCTAGGACCCAACACCGTGGCTTCGGATGGCCCAATTTCTGTCTCTGGCGGACAAAGACTAACCCTTGGGCACTTCTGAGGGCCCGTACTGGCTTCTGAAGGCCCGATGCCGGTCTCTTTGGACCAACATTGGCCTCTGAGGGCCCATCCTGGCTTTTGAGGACGCTCTGTCCGGTCTTTTAGGGCCCATACTGACCTCTGAGGGCTCCACGTTGGCCTGTAGAAATCACACTGGCCTCTGAGGACCCACGTCGGCCTCTGATGGTTCCAAACTGACCTTTGAAGGCCCTGTACTGGTCTCAGAGCCCAGAGGGCCTAAACTGGCTTCTAAGGGTCCCAAACTGGTCTCTGAGGGCCCAAACCGGCCTCTAAATGTCTCACACCGGCTGCTGATAACCCCATTTCTGTCACTGACACCCAAGGCTGGCCCTTGTCCCTTGGGTGCCTCTGAGGGCCCCGTACTGGCTTCTGAAGGCTCTATGCCGGCCTCTGAGGACCCATGACGGTCTTTAGGGGCCCTGTGGTAGTGTGCTCCTCGATTGTCTCCCTGGAGCCGCCTATGCGATGACTTGCCCGCCGGCGCATGGGACGGCTGTCTTGACAGACGTGCCGAAGGCTGGGGTCAGCGGGCGCGGTTGGAATGTGGACCAGTCTTGTTCGAGACACAATGCAAGCGGGAGCCCTACTGTCGCTTATAACAGGGCTGAACTCTGACTGGACCCCACACTGGACTCTGAGGGCCCCAAACTGGCCTCAATGGGCCCCAGCCGGTCTATGGGGTCTCTACACCGCCACTGATGGCCCTATTATGGTCTCTGGGGTGCCAGGTTAGTCTGGTCCCTGAGGGCCCACATCGGCTTCTGAGCCTGGGGGCCCCATAGGGGCCTTTGAGGGCTAATACTGGCCTTTGAGGGCCCTACACCGACCTCTGAGGGCCCCGAATCGGGCTCCTCTGAGGGACCCACACTAGCCTCTGATGAACCCACTCCGGTCGCTGGGGGCTCAAGATTGAACTTTGGGTGCCTCGCACTGGGCTCTGAGGGCCCACATTGACATCCGAGAGCTCCACACTGGCCTGTAAGGGATCATACTGGGCTGGCCTCTGATGAACAACTGGTTTTGGAGGGCCAGTACTGGCCAGTGGCCACTCAGGGTCCCAAACCGGCTTTTGAGGGCCATAACCGGCATCTGATGGACCGAACCGGACCCTGGTGGCCCAAAACAGGTCTCAGACGGCTCAGCACCAGACTCTGAGAGTCCCATCTTTAGTCTCTGGGGTCCAAGGAAGAACTTTTGGCGTTTCATGCCGTCCTCCAAGGTTCCCTGTCAGTCTCTGTTGGTCCCCATGTCGGAATTTCGGAATTTGAGGGCCGTTATCTCGTCGCAGCGGGCCGGCATTAAGGTCTATTACCATATCGGGGTCACATCGGTTTCTGAGGGCCCATGTCTGCTGCCAAGGGTCCCTGGTCTCTGATAGTTCCATTTAGGTCTTTGAGAGCCCGGGCCTGCCCATGATAGGCGCCTCATGCTATCTTCTTATTCTTTGCCGATCTCGGAGGGCCCCTGTCGATCTGTTTGGCCCATGCAGGTTTTTAAGGGCCGCTGCTAGTCTCTGAGAGCCCCATGTCGTTAGTTGTGTCTATTTTGGGTCGCATTTGCACCACACATGTCTCTTAGAGCCCATGCCAGTCAAGGGGTCCCACATTGACCTCTCAAGGACCAACGCTGGCCTCAAGGGCTCACACCACCTCAGAGGTTCCGAACTGGCCTTTGACGACCCCGCGCTGGCCTTTGATGACCCCGGGCCCGCACTGGCCTCTGATGGCTCAGGCAGGTCTTGTAAGACCCACGTTGGAGTTCAAAGACCCATACTGCCGTGCGAGGTCTCACCCGGTTTATGAGAGTCAATCTCAATACTGGCCTTAAATGATCTTACGCCGGGCTTATATAAGGGTCTCATACTGGTTTCAGAAGTTTTCCGCTACTTACGAAAAACTTCAGGGGGAGGGGGGCGGATATTCGCCCCCCTCCGCG